GAGGTTTTTGTAAATTAATGAATGGAATATGTCTAAAGTGATATTAAATTGATCCAACCATTTTCCAGTGTAAAAGAGTGTCCAAGAAAGCCAAAGAAACACTATTTCAATTTTTTCAAAATTTGGAAAAACTCAAAGGGGTTAGCCCACAGATTATGAGAAAATTGATGCATTTTGAGGTTTTTGTAAATTAATGAATGGAATATGTCTAAAGTGATATTAAATTGATCCAACCATTTTCCAGTGTAAAAGAGTGTCCAAGAAAGCCAAAGAAACACTATTTCAATTTTTCAAAATTTGGAAAAACTCAAAGGGGTTAGCCCACAGATTATGAGAAAATTGATGCATTTTGAGGTTTTTGTAAATTAATGAATGGAATATGTCTAAAGTGATATTAAATTGATCCAACCATTTTCCAGTGTAAAAGAGTGTCCAAGAAAGCCAAAGAAACACTATTTCAATTTTTTCAAAATTTGGAAAAACTCAAAGGGGTTAGCCCACAGATTATGAGAAAATTGATGCATTTTGAGGTTTTTGTAAATTAATGAATGGAATATGTCTAAAGTGATATTAAATTGATCCAACCATTTTCCAGTGTAAAAGAGTGTCCAAGAAAGCCAAAGAAACACTATTTCAATTTTCAAAATTTGGAAAAACTCAAAGGGGTTAGCCCACAGATTCTGAGAAAATTGATGCATTTTGAGGTTTTTGTAAATTAATGAATGGAATATGTCTAAAGTGATATTAAATTGATCCAACCATTTTCAGTGTAAAAGAGTGTCCAAGAAAGCCAAAGAAACACTATTTCAATTTTTTCAAAATTTGGAAAAACTCAAAGGGGTTAGCCCACAGATTCTGAGAAAATTGATGCATTTTGAGGTTTTTGTAAATTAATGAATGGAATATGTCTAAAGTGATATTAAATTGATCCAACCATTTTCCAGTGTAAAAGAGTGTCCAAGAAAGCCAAAGAAACACTATTTCAATTTTTTCAAAATTTGGAAAAACTCAAAGGGGTTAGCCCACAGATTCTGAGAAAATTGATGCATTTTGAGGTTTTTGTAAATTAATGAATGGAATATGTCTAAAGAGATATTAAATTGATCCAACCATTTTCCAGTGTAAAAGAGTGTCCAAGAAAGCCAAAGCAAACACTATTTCAATTTTTTCAAAATTTGGAAAAACTCAAAGGGGTTAGCCCACAGATTCTGAGAAAATTGATGCATTTTGAGGTTTTTGTAAATTAATGAATGGAATATGTCTAAAGAGATATTAAATTGATCCAACCATTTTCCAGTGTAAAAGAGTGTCCAAGAAAGCCAAAGCAAACACTATTTCAATTTTTTCAAAATTTGGAAAAACTCAAAGGGGTTAGCCCACAGATTATGAGAAAATTGATGCATTTTGAGGTTTTTGTAAATTAATGAATGGAATATGTCTAAAGAGATATTAAATTGATCCAACCATTTTCCAGTGTAAAAGAGTGTCCAAGAAAGCCAAAGAAAACACTATTTCAATTTTTTCAAAATTTGGAAAAACTCAAAGGGGTTAGCCCACAGATTATGAGAAAATTGATGCATTTTGAGGTTTTTGTAAATTAATGAATGGAATATGTCTAAAGAGATATTAAATTGATCCAACCATTTTCCAGTGTAAAAGAGTGTCCAAGAAAGCCAAAGAAACACTATTTCAATTTTTTCAAAATTTGGAAAAACTCAAAGGGGTTAGCCCACAGATTCTGAGAAAATTGATGCATTTTGAGGTTTTTGTAAATTAATGAATGGAATATGTCTAAAGTGATATTAAATTGATCCAACCATTTTCCAGTGTAAAAGAGTGTCCAAGAAAGCCAAAGAAAACTCTATTTCAATTTTTTCAAAATTTGGAAAAACTCAAAGGGGTTAGCCCACAGATTCTGAGAAAATTGATGCATTTTGAGGTTTTTGTAAATTAATGAATGGAATATGTCTAAAGTGATATTAAATTGATCCAACCATTTTCCAGTGTAAAAGAGTGTCCAAGAAAGCCAAAGAAACACTATTTCAATTTTTTCAAAATTTGGAAAAACTCAAAGGGGTTAGCCCACAGATTCTGAGAAAATTGATGCATTTTGAGGTTTTTGTAAATTAATGAATGGAATATGTCTAAAGTGATATTAAATTGATCCAACCATTTTCCAGTGTAAAAGAGTGTCCAAGAAAGCCAAAGAAAACACTATTTCAATTTTTTCAAAATTTGGAAAAACTCAAAGGGGTTAGCCCACAGATTATGAGAAAATTGATGCATTTTGAGGTTTTTGTAAATTAATGAATGGAATATGTCTAAAGTGATATTAAATTGATCCAACCATTTTCCAGTGTAAAAGAGTGTCCAAGAAAGCCAAAGCAAACACTATTTCAATTTTTTCAAAATTTGGAAAAACTCAAAGGGGTTAGCCCACAGATTCTGAGAAAATTGATGCATTTTGAGGTTTTTGTAAATTAATGAATGGAATATGTCTAAAGTGATATTAAATTGATCCAACCATTTTCCAGTGTAAAAGAGTGTCCAAGAAAGCCAAAAAACACTATTTCAATTTTTTCAAAATTTGGAAAAACTCAAAGGGGTTAGCCCACAGATTATGAGAAAATTGATGCATTTTGAGGTTTTTGTAAATTAATGAATGGAATATGTCTAAAGTGATATTAAATTGATCCAACCATTTTCCAGTGTAAAAGAGTGTCCAAGAAAGCCAAAGAAACACTATTTCAATTTTTTCAAAATTTGGAAAAACTCAAAGGGGTTAGCCCACAGATTCTGAGAAAATTGATGCATTTTGAGGTTTTTGTAAATTAATGAATGGAATATGTCTAAAGTGATATTAAATTGATCCAACCATTTTCAGTGTAAAAGAGTGTCCAAGAAAGCCAAATCAAACACTATTTCAATTTTTTCAAAATTTGGAAAAACTCAAAGGGGTTAGCCCACAGATTATGAGAAAATTGATGCATTTTGAGGTTTTTGTAAATTAATGAATGGAATATGTCTAAAGTGATATTAAATTGATCCAACCATTTTCCAGTGTAAAAGAGTGTCCAAGAAAGCCAAAGAAACACTATTTCAATTTTCAAAATTTGGAAAAACTCAAAGGGGTTAGCCCACAGATTCTGAGAAAATTGATGCATTTTGAGGTTTTTGTAAATTAATGAATGGAATATGTCTAAAGTGATATTAAATTGATCCAACCATTTTCCAGTGTAAAAGAGTGTCCAAGAAAGCCAAAGAAACACTATTTAATTTTTTCAAAATTTGGAAAAACTCAAAGGGGTTAGCCCACAGATTATGAGAAAATTGATGCATTTTGAGGTTTTTGTAAATTAATGAATGGAATATGTCTAAAGTGATATTAAATTGATCCAACCATTTTCCAGTGTAAAAGAGTGTCCAAGAAAGCCAAAGAAACACTATTTCAATTTTTTCAAAATTTGGAAAAACTCAAAGGGGTTAGCCCACAGATTCTGAGAAAATTGATGCATTTTGAGGTTTTTGTAAATTAATGAATGGAATATGTCTAAAGTGATATTAAATTGATCCAACCATTTTCCAGTGTAAAAGAGTGTCCAAGAAAGCCAAAGAAACACTATTTCAATTTTTTCAAAATTTGGAAAAACTCAAAGGGGTTAGCCCACAGATTCTGAGAAAATTGATGCATTTTGAGGTTTTTGTAAATTAATGAATGGAATATGTCTAAAGTGATATTAAATTGATCCAACCATTTTCCAGTGTAAAAGAGTGTCCAAGAAAGCCAAAGAAAACACTATTTCAAAATTTTCAAAATTTGGAAAAACTCAAAGGGGTTAGCCCACAGATTCTGAGAAAATTGATGCATTTTGAGGTTTTTGTAAATTAATGAATGGAATATGTCTAAAGTGATATTAAATTGATCCAACCATTTTCCAGTGTAAAAGAGTGTCCAAGAAAGCCAAAGAAACACTATTTCAATTTTTTCAAAATTTGGAAAAACTCAAAGGGGTTAGCCCACAGATTCTGAGAAAATTGATGCATTTTGAGGTTTTTGTAAATTAATGAATGGAATATGTCTAAAGTGATATTAAATTGATCCAACCATTTTCCAGTGTAAAAGAGTGTCCAAGAAAGCCAAAGAAACACTATTTCAATTTTTTCAAAATTTGGAAAAACTCAAAGGGGTTAGCCCACAGATTCTGAGAAAATTGATGCATTTTGAGGTTTTTGTAAATTAATGAATGGAATATGTCTAAAGTGATATTAAATTGATCCAACCATTTTCCAGTGTAAAAGAGTGTCCAAGAAAGCCAAAGAAAACACTATTTCAATTTTTTCAAAATTTGGAAAAACTCAAAGGGGTTAGCCCACAGATTATGAGAAAATTGATGCATTTTGAGGTTTTTGTAAATTAATGAATGGAATATGTCTAAAGTGATATTAAATTGATCCAACCATTTTCCAGTGTAAAAGAGTGTCCAAGAAAGCCAAAGAAAACACTATTTCAAAATTTTCAAAATTTGGAAAAACTCAAAGGGGTTAATTTTGAGAAAATTGATGCATTTTGAGGTTTTTGTAAATTAATGAATGGAATATGTCTAAAGTGATATTAAATTGATCCAACCATTTTCCAGTTTGTCCACTATTTCCACTGTAAAAAAGTGTCTAAGAAAACTAAATAAAATACTATTTCAAATTTTTCAACACTCATCGCTTGTGCTTTCCAAAATCATGAGAGTGAAACTTTATTGTTACAACACAGAATGGAGGTTAAGATGTTTAGTTAGTCCAATACAAGAATACATATTCAGAATGCTAAATCAGTATAAGTTTGTAATATGCAAAAAAAAATTGTGCTTATAAAAGATATAACATGTACACTTGCAGTTGCAGCTCACCCATGGCTTTGGTCTTCTTCCTCATTCATGCCTAGCTTTTAAGGCTTTGTCCAACTTCCCAATCATACTAACATTAGCTTATACTGTCAAAAAGCATCTCTACTCATTCATTGCTTTGATGATCTCAGCTGATGAGCTCGTGTCCTGATCTCTAAGTGTCTCATTATTCATGCACCCAATTGGCATAATCCCATCTTCTCTCATTTCTCTACAGAGCTTATCCGCTTCACGCCGCCGACCTCTCCTGCACAATCCTGATATCATAGTAATATATGCTATGGCATCAGGCTTCACTCCTCTGAGAGTGAGGCTACAAAACAAACACCAAGCCTCTTCCACTTTACCACCTCTACACATTCCTTGAATAATGATGTTATACGTGATGATATCAACATCCATTTCACTCTTTTGCAGGTCCTCTACTATCACCATCGCCTTCTCTATCTTCCCGTTAGCACACAGACAATCCAACAGAATGTTGTAGGTCACAATATCAGGAGGCACACCACAATCAACCATCCGGATGAAAACCTTTTGAGCAACAGCGAGCTTCCCCGCTTGACAGTAGCTGTGGATAAGAGTGTTCTAAGTGAAAGCGTCTCCTTCACGACCCATCTCACACAAGAGTTTCATCCCATCTTCTACTCTCTTGTACTTGCAGAATCCCTTTATGAGAGTGTTATAGGTCACTACATCCGGGGAACATCCATTCTTCACCATCACATCAAACATTTGCCTAGCCTCACGGAGACGACCGTGTATGCAAAATCCGTTTATCAGAGAGTTGTAAGTGAAGATATTAGGATCTACAGACCTCCGTATCATCTCCCTGAACAAGTTCTTAGCCTCTGAAAGATTCCCATCTTTCACAAACCTATCGATCAAAGCACTCAAGAAGACTACGTTAGGGACGAGTTTCCTCTTCATCATCTCTCTCAGAAGCCGAGCAGCGTCGCTCCATCTACCAGAGCTACACAGAGCAACAACCAGAGTGTTGTAGGTAACGGAATCCGCTCTGACTCCTTTCTTCTCCATGACGTTGAGTAGCTCCAACGCATCGTCCACGCCTCTGTTCTTGCAGAGACCATTAATCACAGTGTTGTAGATCACAACGTTAGGCTCATATCCAGATTTCGACATCGTGTCAACGAGAGATAAGGCCTCGTGGGATCTATTCCTGCGACAGAATCCATTGAGCAGAGAGCCGAGTGTGACAATGCTGGGATTAAAGCCGAGTTTCCTCATCTTTCCAAGAAGAGACAGAGCGAGAGAGAGACGAGAGCATCTACAGAAACAATCTATCAAGATACTGCAGCTACAGAGATCATGTGAAATCCCTAATTTTCCATCTTCTGGCAGAGATAGATGACGATGTCGTACTTGTTCATCTTGGCGATGGCTGTCAAAACTCTAGTGAAATCAACAATGGATGGGAGGGGACGAGAACGAAGCATCTCGCAGAACAAATTGAACGCATCATCAAACTTGATAGAGCGAAGAAACCCATTTCTCAATCTCTCTCGATAATGAGTCGCACCAGAGAAAGGTCGCGACCAAATAACGCAAAACGAGTGAGAAGCAGCCTCAGGATTATCAAAATTACCTCTCTCTAGCAAATGCCGGCGACGAAGAAACCCCTTCGCCGTTGACGCTGTCGCAATCGCAATCGATCTCGGCATCCAAAAGGGATTTTGTTTCTTCCCAGATGATTTGGTTTGCCCTCAAATCTCAGTCTCTCTCGAGCGTTATTGGACTGTGCGACGAACCCTACCAACGAAGAGCATTGCTCCGGCGAGCGAGCCGAGAGATATCTGAAGTGATAGTGAATAGAGAAATGTCATATTGGCTAAAACGACGCCGTTTTCTTCCAGAGTGCTTCATTTTCACCTGATTGCATATAACAAGAAAATTAACGCAAAGCGGTCGTTAGATTTTATACAAAGCATTTACTATAAGCAACAATACATGTTTAATTATGAATGATTAAACATTTACATGTCTAATAAATCTATCTACCTCTGCAACAGTTTGATGCTTGATGACTGCTTCTTTACTTGGTCCTCAGGCCTGACCAAATCAATCCAAAATGGCTTTGTATATGACTGCACCGATCAAGCCTAGCTTAGAGTCGGTCGTCTAAAAGCTCAGTCCCACAAAAATAGTTATAACTGGAGACTGATCATATAACATTAGCCGAGAAACACTCTTAATTCCTGATTACTTGTGCCATCTTGTGCATTCAGTTGGCAAATAATCCCATCTTCTTTCATCCTCCTAAACAGCTCATCAGCTTCACGCCGTGGCCCATTCTTACACAATCCTAATATCATCGTCGTGTATGTTCTCGCATCAGGCTTCACTCCTTCCAAAGGTAGCTCACAAAACAACTCCCAAGCTTCTTCCACTTTGCCGTTCTTGCACAGCCCGTGAATCATGATGTTATACGCAACCACACCAACACACTCTTCTTCCCTTCTTCTTCTCATATCCTCGAATTTCTCCACCGCTTTCTCTATCTCCCCGCTAACACAAAGACCGTGCAACAGAATGCAGTGTGTCACAATATCAGGAGCCACGCCACAATAAACCATCATTTCGAAAATGCCTTGCGCAACTTTGAGTTCACCAACTCGACAGTAACCGTGGATGAGAGTGTTGTAAGTGAACGTGTCGCCAACCAATCCTTCTGAAACCATCCTGTTGAAGAGTCCCATCCCGTCTTCTACCCTCTTACACTTACAAAACTCGTTTATGAGAGTATTATACGTCACTACATTTCGCTTGCTTTCCATCGATTCAAATAACTTTCTGGCTTGATTTATATAACCGTGGTTGCAAAGCCCGTTGATGAGTGAATTGTAAGTGACAGTGTTAGGATATATAGAGCTTTGGATCATCTCCTTGTACAATTCGACAGCCTCCAAAACGCTACCTTCTTTCAAAAACCCATCGATCAACGCACTGAAAGTGATGACATCAAGATTCATCTTCCTCTTCTTCATATCTCTCATAAGCCGAGCCACGTCGCTCCATCTACCGCAATCACAAAGACCACTTATCAGAGTGTTGTAGGTGACAACATCTGCTTCCACATTCATACTCTTGAAAAGCTCCAACGCGTTATCCAAATGACCCTTCTTGCAATGACAATCAATCAGAGTGTTGTAGATCACAACATTAGGTTGATATCCAGATTTCTCCATTGTGTCAACGAGAGATAAGGCCTCGTGGATTCTATTCCGGCGACAGAATCCATTGAGCAGAGAGCCAAAGGTGACGATGCTGGGCTCAAACCCGAGTTTCATCAATTTTCCGAGAAGAGAGAGAGCGAAAGAGAGACGAGAGCATTTACAGAAACAATCTATCAAAATCGTGCAGCTATAGAGATCGTGTGAAATCCCTAATTTTTCCATCTCCTGGGAGAGAGAGATCACAGTTTCGTACCGTTTCATATTGGCGATTGCAGTCAGTAATCTACTGAAATCGACAATGGAAGGTAACGGTTGAGAGTAAACCATGTCGCCGAACAAATCAAGCGCTTCTTCGAACTTTATAGAGCGAAGCCCACTTCTCAGTTTCTCTCGATAATCACTAAACCCAGAAAAACCTCGTCTCGAGAGAGAACTTCCGAAATTACCTTTCTTCACGAGAAATCCCTTCGCCGTTGACGCAATCGCAGTCGCAATCGATCTCTGCATCCAAAATGGAGTTTCGTTCAGCAGAGCTCCGGCGAGTGTGGAGGCTCTGAAACTACCGCCGGAGATGTGAAGATGGAACAAAACAAACAAAAGGTTACTATGTTAAGTTAAACGATGGCGTTTTGAGAAACGGGTTGTAATTATTTAGAACGTGATTACAAGTATTGATTTGTGTAATTGAATCCCATAAATAGCGAATTAGTTGTAATTAAACCTCCGTTAAACCAACCTCTGCATTTTGATTTTCTCTCAATTCTCCTCAACTCCTCCGATCTGAGCTGAGGAATTGAGAGATTCCGAGATCGAACGGCATCGATGGAGAACGGAAACAACGGCGGCTTGAGCGTGATTTCTCGAGTGAAGCTCGATCAGGTGGCCACATGGGTTAGCTCCTCCGTCGTCTCGGCCTTCTTCACCTCCCTTGAGCGATGCGCTTGTCTCAACCTCGACACCACCGATCCCGACGACGATGATCCAGAATTCGAGGCCAAGGATCGCCCTCTCGCCTTCTCCGCTGCTCCTCATCCCTCCGGCGACATTGTGTAAACTGTTCACTCTCCGATTTCATTTCTCGAGATTCGTTGCTGAGGTGTTTTGGGATCTTAATGGGTTTCTTGGTTGAATCTTTTTTGTGTGTAAACGAATGAATCATTTGATGATAAAGGAATTTGTGTGATTTTTGACTATCTGCATTTACGCTTTTTTGCTGCATAATGTAACAACTTGGAATTATGTACTGATTCTGCTCGATCGGACGCAAGAATTATCATTATGGACTAAATCTCAAATCGTTTCAAAGTAATGATCTTGAAAAATTATAAATTTACTCATATTCATATACTTTCTTTACATAGTTTATAGATTGGAAGATTGAGACTGACTTAGAGCGAAAAGAAACAGACTCTGTTTCCTTCATAGAGACAACTTTTCACAAGAAAACTGTGCATAAGGCTAAGAAAACAAGGAATAACGCCATGGAAATGAAGAATCCACATGATGAAATGCAGAATCATCAGGCTAAGTGTTTTGTGTCTACTTCATTGTCCTCAAGGGGTTTCTGCATTGGCATGTTGGTGTTGTTTCGAGTGCAGTCACCTTCCATTTGATCTGAAGCAGTCTTGTTCTTTCTTCTTGTAGTTTCATTATACACTCAACTACTCTTTATAATTTTACTTCCTCTGTAGTAGTAGTAGCATACCAATTTTGTGTTACTGATGACTGATGAGAAGAGGGCTTGCGGCATTATTGAGTCTTAATTATCACGAGGTTCTCTCCAACAGAGCAGCATGACGAGGCAACGCCTAATTATGTATAATCTGGCTCTCTTCTCCTTCAAGGACCGATTTGGTGTCAGCTTGTTCTTCACCTCCTTGTTTGACTCCATCAGTTTCACCACCATCAAAAGTTGCTTTTATCTTCTCTTTATAGTGGTCTACTTGGTTCAGTGTATGTTTCTAAGAGTGGTGAGCATAAATGTGAAAGAGGAGAAGAGGCAAAGACTTCATCTTCCTATCAAATTTTGGGCGGCATCAGTCAAGGATGTGTTTTGATTGGTTTTCTTGTTTCAAGGTTTTTGTTTTTGTCATGCTGCACATTAAGGATCAGTCTTTCTTCACAAGTCCAGAGTAACTGTCTTCTGCAAAAGCAAAAAAGAAAAAGCAAAAACAACCGTTGATTCCATGACAACCAGCATCATATGTCAGATTATCCAACACTTGTTCTCCAAGTCAAAGACCTTGATTTCAGGCATGCTTAGCAACATGATTCATCATAACTCATTAATTCATCTTGACCCTCATTTTTACTTGACTTTCTTTGTTTTTCCTCTGAAAAAAAGTATCACTTGAAATCGGTAATTAGTTTAATCATAAAGATATTCAACATTGGTTAAAGAATGATTGTTTTGAATTTTTGGGAGGTTGAATCTGACTAGGAATTTTACGTGTAGACGTTTCATACAAATCCATAGCTCATGGATCCCGTGGCTGTCTTTGATCAATGAAACTCTCGTGCTTACTTATTTTTAATTTTAGTGTGATTAGTCCCTTATATTTTATATGAAAAGCAAGATACGATCTTGTATTAAGACGTAAGGGATCTCTATTTATCCATCACACTATTAGAAAGTTCAAAGCCTATAATTAAACAAATATTTTAAAAACTTTATAGGCTACAAGTGTTATATGCGTTAAACGTTACTTAAACCACAAAGTTTCAAGAATATTCACTTGATCGTGTAAGATCTTACACTAGCTTTTGCCTTTTGGTACAAACTACAGAACCACAAAATAGTTTTTCTGATTAAATATTAACTAATAACTATACAAACTTTCAAAAACATTTATTTTGTCATTAGATTCTTAGAAACAATATCAACGTGGGTCAGCAAAATATCATATTTCATGAAAGAAAGGAGTATCAAACTGTTTACAAAAGATAGAATCAGGTAGCCACTCACTAAGAATCTGAGAATGTATGGACCATAGCTTGAATATATGTAATAGTTCTCCAAAGGCTACCAAGAAAACTTAGTATACGATTGGTTACTAACAACATAATAAAATGGTAGCAATAGTTTATAGTGGCATGCCAAATAGAAAGAGGATTTGACCAACTCTGTATTGGCAAGTTGGTATCCAATAACACAACCTAACCCGTTTTAAGTTTTAACATAAAGCAAATTAAGATTCCAACTTCGCCAATGTCATTCCAATTCCAAAGGTGGAGGAGTCTCTTTTCTTAATCCCCATTAATCGTAAAGTTTATTGTATATTCAACGTCTCTCACCCAACGATCCTATTTGTTTATTTCTAATAGTGTGTGATCCTTAGAAAGAGACAAGGCCTCCCAAGGTGGAGGAGTCTAATAATTCACAAACACTTCATCTAATTTGAGTTTATCTCAACGTCCCTTCTACCATTTCCGTTTTTATATTCATATCCTGCAAACTTTGATTAATATAGATCAATTCTTGGAGGTTGGACCATCTTGCTTTTTGATAATCAAGCATAATAATTCAATTTTTCGATCCATAAATTTTTCAAATTTAAGACCAATCATTGAAAATATTTATGATAGATTCACAAAACAAAAATCTTTGTTTTCTAGATACAAAGCGGTATCCATAATCGAATATAGTGAAACCATAACAATCTTTTCCTCTTCTTCTTTGGTGAATCAATAAACTTTATGGCAAATATCACGTTTGATGAATATAGAGGACATGCATATAATCTGAGAATTACTTAGATTCAATTTCTCTGCAAAGTAATATTCTGATTTGATCCTCTTGATACCACCTTATAAAATTAATCCTTATACACTGTATTGCGTTTGAGGTGTGATCATTTCTAACTATGGGAAATTGTTTAATACGAATTACATGGATCGTTCTAGACCTGCAAATAAGACACATTTATAGTTTGAAGTTGAAATATTTTATAAAATAAAAATATCATTTTATACATAATGAAATTAGTGGAATTGTTAGTGGGTAGTAGTTGGATTTGGGTAAGATTACTTTTTGATGATTTTCATACTCAGCCTTGAAGATCTTCTTCTCATCCATTGATGGATTGGATCCTCCAAGAACAGAGAGACCAATTAGCTTACTCTATTGTGACATTCTCCAAAATCCCCACCATACTTTTTGCTTCAACCACTTACAATTTTTACAAGGAAATATAACTACAAGACAATTTACGTAAAGGTGGAATTTAAGAATATTCTCAGTATAACACTTAACTATTCAACTGAGGAATGTTGATGTATGAAGATCATTTACAAGCTATATACATGTGAGATTCAAGATAAAAACCATTCAAGTCTTTGAGCACTTAAAGAAAAGAAAACAAAACAAAAACATCAAGCTTTGTTTCATAAGCGGTCCAAATTGCACTTGTAGCAATCATAACAGCCATTGTGTTTGCAGACATTGTCGTGATACAAGTGTTATATGTTGAATAGTGAAATTTGATATTCAAGACGATCAAATATTGAAGAAAGAAAATAATTATAAACGCGTTTAGCAAATATTTTACTCCATGCAAAAATGATGTGTTCTAAACCTTCAAATGATTCTTTCTACACATAAGACCCTAGCAATAATATTGTGTTCATATGTACTGTATAAAATGTATATGAATGAAAAATGATTGTGTTTAATATATATCTATTAAACGCCTTCAAACGTTATATACGTAGCCAATATTCATAATCTATATATCTATTAAGTAATGCAAATAATTTCTAGGTTACAATAAGGTTTATCTTGTAATATTGGAAGACTATAAATGGAGCTGAGGAACAATATTTATGCATATGATCAAAGATCATTCCGATATGTCTACTAATTCGTGTGGGTCCAATAGATAAACCTGCACGTTTTCTATAGAGTGTGACTGTGAGAGATAGAGACTTTGAACATATTTGTTTCACCTCTTATGAACAAATATATGTTAAGAGAAGAGGGGACCATGAAAATGTGAAGATTCGGAGGATAATACCATTAGAAAGTTGGACATGATTTGATAAATAGTGAGTGTTACCCAAAACATGGCACTATCTATGCATTGTTTCCACTTTTATATTACAGTTTTTATTCATAAACTTTGGAGGATTATGGTTTGTAATCACCCAATTCCAAGTATAATTTTGCTTAGTGACTCATCTTCCTCTATAATTTCCTCTTAGTCAATTAGAGTTGGCTAACTAAACCTTTCTTTTAGTCACATTTTTAATCATCCATAGTAGTAAAATACTTCTTTTTTTTCTTGTTTACTACTAATGTGGATAATTAAGAATTAAATCCCAAAAATACAACATAGAAGCGTGTTGTCTCCTTTCTCCGCATCTCCCTAACCCTAGCTATGTTCCTCCAACACGTAGCACTATAAATACAAACCCACAAGAGAGAGACCCAAACACTCAAATATTCAACTGCTCTCCATAACCGAAACAGAGAAAGATAAAAGAGAGAGAGAGAGAGAGAGAGAGAGAGAGAGAGATAAAGAATAATGATTGAGACGGTTAAGCACCTGATTGGCTCCGGTGGCTCCAGCGGCTTCGGCTCAAGATCCACCGCAGATCAAGTCACACTTAATTCTGATCTCCGATCTCTCACTGCCATCATCACTGGCGCAACGTCAGGGATCGGAGCGGAGACGGCGCGTGTTCTTGCTAAGCGTGGCGCGAGGCTCATACTTCCGGCTCGGAGCGTCAAAACCGCCGAGGAAACAAAGTCTCGTATCCTCTCGGAGTTTCCCGATGCAGAGATCATCGTCATGCATCTCGATCTCAGCTCACTTTCCTCCGTTCGTAGATTCGTCGCCGATTTCGAAGCTCTTCACCTCCCTCTCAACATCCTCATGTATATTCAAACTCCATCATCACAATCATATATACAAGAAAATCTTTAGGAAACTTTTCTTCTCATCTTCTCGTACGTTTTGGTTTGTATCAGAAACAATGCCGGAAAATACGCGCACAAGCACGCCATCTCCGAGGACGGTGTGGAGATGACGTTCGCCACTAACTATCTCGGTAAGCTTTTTTAATAATAATCATTTAACTTATTTAATCATTCATTTTATATGGTCTCTAGCTAACCGTGATTAAGTTAACTAAACTTTAGCTATATTTGTTTTTCTATGTGTAGGCCATTTTCTGCTGACAAAACTGTTGTTGAAGAAGATGATCGAAACGGCGGCACAAACCGGCGTTCAAGGACGTATAGTCAACGTCACGTCGGTGATCCACAGCTGGTTTTCCGGCGATATGTTGCAATATCTCGCCGATATATCAAGAAACAATAGGTAAATTAATTAATTAATTAGTAGAAGAATCTTTTACAATCAAATACTACTCATCATCCATCATTTGCGAATGATTAATAATAATAATTATTTACAATATAGTACAAAAAGGTTTATGCGACGACAAAACTAAACGCCGTCGTCGTTCTTGTCTTTATGCTCTTTTTCTTTAATTAATTAACTACTACTTAATTAAAATGGGACATAAGAGTCTGACAAGAGCTTTGGCTTTGCGTTTTGTGTAGAAATTACGACGCGACGCGAGCTTACGCTCTCTCCAAACTCGCCAACGTTCTTCACACCATAGAGCTATCACGGATTCTCCAAAAGATGGATGCTAATGTAACGGCCAACTGTGTTCATCCTGGAATCGTGAGAACCCGACTAACAAGAGACCGAGAAGGCTTCATCACAGATTTGGTGTTTTTCTTGACCTCCAAGCTATTGAAATCTGTTCCTCAGGCAGCAGCAACGACATGTTACGTGGCAACAAGTCCAAGATTGAGGAACGTGAGTGGCAAGTACTTCTCGGACTGCAACGAAGCACGGACATCTAAATTCGGATCGTGCAGTCTTAAAGCTCAAAGACTTTGGACTGCTTCTCAGTTGTTGGTTTCTCCATCGTCCACTCTTAATGTTTACAAAACATTTCACTCTTTCACCAACGATCCTATTTGTAAATCCCAAGCCATATAATAATATCTACATATATATATATATAATTTTGGTATGTATATGTAGATGAATGGGCTAGTGTTCGTTTGTGTGTGTAGGTGTGTATAAGCCTGCCTATATAGTATTATATATGTGGTTGTGGTTTGTCATGTTAATATGATATATAGTTGTAGGGTTTTGTAAAATCTAGCTAGGTCGCCCTTGTTGTTTTGTAATTCCTACCTAGCTACAATATCAATATATAAAGAATTTGAGTTTTTTTTCTCCTCTTATTTTGAAACTTGTTTATTTCTGTTGAGACTATTGCATGAATGCATTAAAATCGTATATACACACCACATTATTCAAATTTATTTTGGACCAAAATATGAGTTTTGTTTTTGAGACTATTGGTCAGATAAGACTCGTATTTTGAGGGTATTGCATGCATCCATACCATGTTTGGTTTGAAAATATACTGAACCAATCAATTTATACTAAATCATTATGGGCCCATTTGAATAATCATTGGATATTTGAAAGGCCCATTTAAATAGAAAAGTCCATGCTAAGCCCTAAACCCTCTTGTCTCCTTCCTTTCACGAGACGACCGGAAGTAACATCAAGCACCGGCTGAAATGGCGAATGCCCAGAAATTCTTCACCGTCGAGACCCTGAGGACTGCAGCCAAGCAGTCCTTCCGCTGCCTCGTCGTCCCCGTCCGTCTCCGCCGCGCTATCAAGAAATATCTCCGCGGTACTACTCACTCTCCTTTAGTTTTCGATCCCATTTTTTCAAATTTCCGTCACCGCCTGAGAAGATATCGGGCTTTGTTTTTCGCAACAGAGGAAGATGATCCCCACATTAGGAAGAAGGTGCGTCAGTTATCCGAATCGTTCCAAGGGATCAAGGACTCGAACCTGCTCTTACCTGAAACCACGGCCAAGAGCCTAGCCGATACGATGAACTCAGTGGAGACGAAGCGATGGAAGATACAGACTGTTTACGGAGACAGCGGACTCGAATACAGAGACGGTGAGACTGCAGCTTACGTTGCTTCTCGCATGCCCGCCGTCTTCTCCGTCTGCTACAGAGTCCTCACTGAGGTACTAGTTTCTTAAAATTCTCATCTTTCTCATTTCGAATTGCAGGATTGAGCTTGAGATTGTCTTTTAGTCAATTGATTGTACAAAAAAGAGTGTGATTTGTAGATTCGTCGAAGGTTACCGGATTTTGAGCCTAAAAGAGTGCTGGATTTTGGTGCAGGCACTGGTTCTGGTTTCTGGTGAGCCTAAAAGATTAATGTTTCCTGATTGTCTTGTATAAATATCTTTTCTTGTTGTTTGTGTTCTTGATTGATTCTTTGTGACATGTTGTTGTAGGGCGGTGAAAGAGGTTTGGCCAAATTCTGCGGAGAAGATAAACATAGTGGAACCATCGCAATCGATGCAGCGTGCAGGACGGAACTTAATACAAGGTGAATGACTTTGACTTTCCATAGTCTGTCGAAGCTCCTTAACAACACATTGTTGTGTGTTTTGATTGGTTCTCTGATCTTACTTTTGTTGTGAATATGAAAGGCCTCAAGGATTTGCCTCTGATCCATGGGTATACGAGCCTGATAGCTCTTAGTAAAGAGATCAACAAAAGAAAACAAGAGAGGAAACATGATCTTGTCATCGCTGTAGGTTCTCTCTTTTTAACTTCACATAAGCTGCGAGTCTTGTTTACTGATTGAAGTTCAAAATGTTTCTTTTTGTGGTGGGTAAGTCATATGTGCTAGGGGAGATACCATCTCTAAAAGACAGGATTTCGGTGGTTCGCCAGCTCTGGGACCTTACAGATGATCTCTTGGTATGCTTTTGTTGTGTGCCCCTTGGCGTTTTGATTTGTTGAATCCAACGAGCTTTTATGAACAGGTATTGGTTGAACCAGGAACGCCACACGGTGCTAATATTATATCTCAGATGCGGTCCCATATACTGTGGATGGAGAAGAGGGTACTTTTTCATTTGCTTGCAGATTAAAGATATATTCTAGCTCAAATTCTGTTGTCAAAAGTTAATTTGCAATGTGTTCATTTGTGTCTTAGAAACTGCGTAAACTGGAAAAGAAAATGAAGAACGATGAAACTGTAAAAGACGTGCTCGATCTCAAACTTGGTGCGCACATCGTTGCTCCAGTAAGTGTCAATATCCTTCACTTGTCAACAACTTGCTGTTTTAGTTTGCATGCAATGAATGTATTATATAACACAAAGGATGGTTGCAAACGCAGTGCCCTCATGATGGAAAGTGCCCGCTGGAAAACACTGCAAAGTATTGTCATTTTGTCCAGCGGTTGCAGAGAACCTCGTCTCAGCGTTCATACAAGGTTTCCTTTTTACTTCTTGGAGTTGCATCTGTTTAGATTTCACTCATCGCTGTGTTTGCTGATGACCCCAAACCCAAAACTAAACCTTTTTGCAGCGTACAAAAGGTGTTCCCTTGCGTGGGTTCGAGGATGAGAAGTTTTGTTTTGTGGCTTTCAGGAGAGGTCAGCGCCCACGGTTAGTTGTCTTGTATTGGTTTGAATGATTGTCAGTTTTACCTTTAAAGACAAGTTGTTAATGATTGAGTTTTGCGTTTAGGGAAGCATGGCCTCTTGACGGAATGAAGTTGGAAACACTGAAGGAGAGACGTGCAAACAGGAAACCCGAGGATCTCGAGATTGATTATGGTACGTTCAAGAGTATTGTATGTATGGAACTCATTTGCATATATAACATCTGAACCTTCTGATCTCTGTGCCTATATATGCAGAGGAATTTATAAATGCACAGGTCGTTGAAGTGCCTTACATGGATCCAAAAGAATACGACTCTGATATGGATGAGGATGAGGAACAAGAAGACGGTGAAGGCACTGTTGATGATGTGGATGTGGATGGGGATGAGGAACTAGAAGATGGAGAAGTTACTGATGAGGAAGAGGAAGAAGAAGAAGAAGAGAAGGTTGAAGACGTAGAAGAGAGTGGGAGAGCGAGTGTGGGAGGTGGATGGGGAAGAATCATATTCCCTCCATTCCGCAAGGGGAAACAAGTGACTTTGGATCTCTGCGTGCCGACAAAAGAGGATGGATCAGAGGGAGCTTTCGAAAGAAGAGTGATAACGAAAAGCAAGAACCCTGATCTTCATTTGCAGGCCAAGAAATCTTTCTGGGGAGACTTATGGCCATTGACGACTCAACAAGACATTAGCAAAGTGAAGCCAGTTGATGCTGAGTGGTGTCGCCCAGACCAAGACCCGAAGTGGGGTTCTTGGCCTTAGAGCCTCAAGAGTGAAAGACATGTAAAAACATGATTTGGTGTATTGTTAAAAAACATTTCCCATAAATAAATCATGTTTCTGTTTAAGATTGCACAAAATGAGTACAGAATCACTATACATATTGTCACAAACAAGCACAACACAACTTTTCTGTGTCATGTATATATATATATATATATATATGTATATTTTGCTCCTAAGTAGATACTTATAAATAATAAAAGAATCCTAGCTAATCTAGACTAATCACTTATGTGATGATGTGTTTTAGACACGAACAGGCAAGCCGTAGTTGTGGAAGACTCTGATCCTTCCATCCCAAGTCGCAGTGACGACCACAAGACCCCACAGGTGAGGCTGCAACACGCTCCTCCTCAGAAGCTTCAGATTCCCTCTGCTACTACTCACTGTTCCAGTTTCATCAAGCTTCTCTTCAGGCCAAGTTGTTGATCCTTTCATTGGAGAGAAACAGTCCACTTTGGGTGTATTGTTCTCCAACTCTGTGATGCAATCATATAGACTGTTCCTCATTCCCTGTCTGAGCCAAGGAGCAGCCACAGAGGCATTGTGTGAGAGAAAGCCCTCGTAAGACCTGATGCTTTTAGGTTTATCAGAAGAAGGCTTCTTGCTTGGACACTGAGAGTAATTCCACAAATGAATCCCTGAGTCCTCTGATGTTGAGAGAATGTTCTTCCCATCTAAAATGAATGAAGCAGATGTTGTGCGAAGGCTAGAAGCTGCAAGCACAGAGAAAGAGAGAGGGAGATTACATGTTTGTTCTAAAGCAGAACAAAAGCAATCCTTATGGAGACAGATAACCAACCTTTAAACTTGCAGATTACATCATCTCCGGATATGATCCGAATCTTAGAATCAGCAAAAGTAACCATTACTTTGTCAGGATCATTGGGAAGAAACTCGAGACCAGTGATCCTTTTGCTTGAAGCCTTCTTCTTCCCATGTAAGTTAATCTCTCTGTCCATTTGCAGCTGCTTCTCGAGAATATGGTAGAAGCGACAGTTCCCTGTCATGGAGCCTATGACTACACCCTGCACAAACAAGTAAAAGGAAACATTCTCTAATAAGCAAACTGTGACAAAAAATGAAAAAGTTAACACTCTAAAGTGCTTTAAACAAAGTACCTTTGCATCTGGACGAAAGCAGACAGCTGTTACAATGTCTCTTATATCTGTGTAGTCAACAACTCGACAACGGGACACATCCCATATTCGAACTTTCCCATCAATTGATCCGCTAATGAAGTAATTGTCATCCACAGGGTTAAATGCCACACAAGTCACTGTGGAGATAAAGAAAAAGAAGATGTGAGTGAGAGAGTACAAAGCAAAGAGAAGCCAAAAGCAGCATTGATCAAAGAAGAAGAAGAAGCTCACCGAAATTGTTATGAGGGAAAGTTGTGAGACATTCATCAGAACCTACTCTCCATAAACGAACAGTCTCATCCACAGAAGATGACAGCAGATACTGCACCAAAAGTTGAAACATGTAAGAGGACAATACAGAAGAATCAAAGACAAAGAGTATGTAGGAAGATGTTTTACTTACCCCATTCTCCGACCAGGAAAGATCCAAGATCTCACCAACATGTCCTCTAAACTCATGCAGAGGCTTCTCAGATAAACTAAAGATCTTCGAGGGTAAGACAACACAAGTTGAGTCCGACGACTTCCTCAGAAAACTCGTCTTCTTCTCTACTTTCTCCTTGTTCATATTATTAAGAGGCTCAATCTGAGAATGCTGATTCATCCCAAAGTAAACACCATTAGAATCAACCTCAGATGCTACTTCATACTTATCTGTTCTCTCTTCCTCCACTACGCTCCAAACTCGAACCACACAGTCTTCACCAGCACTCGCAATGTATCTCCCATCATGAGAAAACTTCATGGCTAACACAGAGCCTTCATGCGCTGCAAAATCTTGGTCAATACACAGAGACGAGAGCTCCTTGACTTGCTTCTTGTAAGTCTGAACCTTCGCAACTCGCTTCATTCCTTCACAGTCCAGAGACTCGAGGACATGTGTCAACACACCAAGCTTCTTCAACCAAGACTGTGCTCCTCCTTTCAGAGAATCATATCTACGACTGCTCGATGGAGAGTTGTCAAAATCACTACCGGATCTACTTGAACCGGAATCAGTTAACCCTTCAGGCATCATACTAGTGCTACTACTTGAATCGTTCCTGCTCATCACCAAGGATTGATCATCCGTGTCCTCAGATGATGATGATGATGAAACAGTGGATTGATCAAATCCAGAGGACTTAGTAGATTCATTCCTCGACAACACCTCCTTCACTCTATCATCAGAAGAAGACTCGTTGTTGGCAACTTCTTGAACATCTTCAGAGTCCTCCAAGGAATCGTCTTCTGCAGTCTTTTTGAAACTAAAGCCCATAGATTGGAGAAACTTACGCCTTCGGTTGGAAACACTGTCAGGCTTCTCGGTCCAGAGATCTAAACCGAATTCAGATGATGTTGTTGTTGCTGCTACGTCTTGTTCAGGGGCATCAAAGAAGCAATCTTCGTCTTCTTCATCCCCACGAGTACCCATCACACTCTGTTTGCTCTGTAAACAAAACAGAGAAAAAAAGGAACGAAATTGGTAAGAAAGGATTCAACTTTGGGTAGCATTCAAAGTCTAACCTTTTAAGTGCTAGTCAAATCAAACAGTAGAGAGAAGAGCGAAATGTGAAAAGCAGAATCAGTCAAACCCAAAAATAAACCTAAAAAAAGGGAATTTCCATAGTTCACGGCAGAGGAAGAAGAAGAAGAAGGGATTAATTATGAAGTTGATGAAGAGATTGCTTCCAAGTCAATTAAAAACAACGAATTTTTATCATATAACTACAGACATAAGTCATAACACAGAACTAGTGCTTAGAGGATTTTGCTTACCTGTCCCACCAAACCTAGAAATCGCTCTTTCCGAATACAAATTGTCGTCGAAATCGAAGAAGAAGAAGAAGGAGGAGGAGGGCTATTAAGAACCCAAAGAATGAACGGGTGTGAAATTATAATTTGTCGGTTGGATTCACATCACACCCTTTGGAAGCTAAAGCCAAATCGTATATACAAAAGCTTTCATCTTTGGGAAGGTTTAAGAGGGTCGCGTTTTATTTCCGCTATTATCGGCAAATTAGGAAGAATAAAAAGGAGGGAGATTTCGGATTTTCTGAAATTAAAGAAAAACAAAAAAAGGGGATTTTCTTCGATGTACGAAGAAAGGTAGAAGAAAGGAAAGAAGTACAAATATGTAAATCTCTCTTATCTTAGACTGACTTGTCTTTTTCTTTTTTGTTCATTGGTCAACCACTTACACTGACTTCCATTTCTCTACTTGTCTTGTTTAATCTCTATTTGCAAATGTCCACAAAATACTATATTTTTAAGCTGATTTTATTAATCTTGTTATAGAAAAAGTTTCTATCATTATCAGACCAACAACAAAAAAAAATTGTTATTTTGAGTTTTAACTATTATATAATCCTTCGTTTCCTAATATAATAGTTTGAGTTTTATAAAATAAGACTTAATTAAACTTACATGTAAACTTCCTATAAACTTCTCATGTACATGTATACAACCAACGAAAAAGAACGGGCTCTTGACATGTGGAACTTTTTTTTTCAACCTAACCGAAAGAGAGTTAGTTTAAGTGAAAAATCAAATCCTACCAAAAGATCAAGAAGAGAGTTTTCCTCTCAAAAAGTTATTTAAATTATTTTCTTGTTATGATCATCATACCTATGAGTTAAATACATCAAAAAACGCTTGGTTTAATTTTAGTAAATATTCTGTATGGACATGAACAGAAAGATAGGTGGCCTCGAGAAAACGTGGCTTTGATGACATTTTCAATTTGTGACCACCGAATGAGTATTGTATTATAATCAGAGAGCAGATAACACGCACGCACACACAAGTAGAAATAGCCAAATAGTTTGCCTTGTTCCTTGTCGTCTCTAAGACCAACTCCAATCGAACGGCATAACGGCATATTTGGTGCAGAATCATCTCCAATCACACGGCAAACTTCACACCAAATCTTTTTTTTTGGTGTTTTGTGAACAGTGTCACACCATATTTGGTGTGACACTGTTCACAAAACACCAAAAAATATTCTTTTTTTTTTCATTTATCTTTTAATAAAATAAGTGTTATATTAATAAAATAAGTATTTGTTTATTGAGTAACTAAGTGTATTTTAAGTTTAAAAAAAGTTGCTATTTAAAAATGATAAAACATTTTTATATTTTGCATTTTAAATTATAATTATAACTAGTATTCCACACAAAATATAAGTTAAACATAAATTATAACTAAAAATACATATTGAAATTCAACAAAAAACATTGGAAAACATAGGATTACAAAATTAAAAACAAACAAACATAAGAAAAATACTTAAATGCAACAATTTATTTTTTAAGAACATAATCTAATTTCCGGGAAAATAATTTCCGTCTCCACCAAGATAACGATAGTATTGGGTAAAATCTTGTGGATCATTTGGTGCTCTTTCATCTCCACCTTCAACGTGGTTTCCTTGAAATTGGTTTCCTTGAGTTTGATCTCCTTGATTTTGAGATGCTCGATATTGGCTGTGAGAACCTTCTCCGTGTTCTTCATATTGGTCTGTTGGTGCTCTTCTTTTCAAAATTTTCTCTCTTTCATTTTCGATATACGCACGACACCCTGGATCACTTATAGAATTTAAATCTGTAAATAATATTCTATTTTCTTCTTTCATTTTTGCTACCTGCACCTTCTGTCTTTGAATTTCGTTTCTCTCGGCAGTACCTTTAGAAATAGCTTTGATAAGCTTATCACTTTGCTCCATCATTTGTTTAAATTGATCTGAAGATTGTTGTTGTTTCTTTGCTTTCTTCACACCAATAGGTCGCTGAGAGGAATTAAAAGTGGTTTCTTCACTACTCATATTTAGATCAAATGAACTCATACCATGCGATGGCGATGACTCATCTTGGAATGATTGAGATGACATGACATTACGGCGTTCTTCTTGAAATGCAGTGGTTCTACTAGTGTGGTTGCTTGCAAATTTCTCAATACCTTTGAGAATAGGCCATACATGATCAAATTTGAATCCTGTCTTGTATTTGACATCTTGTCTTAACAACATCTTTGCTTGGTTTAACTGATTAATATTATAAGAAAAAACATAAACATGTTAGCAAATAAAACAAAGAAAAATGACAAAAATTAGAAATAGTTCAAATATATACTTACAATATCTTGGTCGGAAGCACCACTTGGATTTTTATTTTCAATCTGGTTAACGCATCCCCTCAGCTTGGAGACTGCAGAAAGAATTTTTGCCATTCGGGTTTCTAAGGATCTTTGTGGTCTTGGTTGATTACGAAAAATCTCAGATTTATCATATTCAACAAAAACCCTCCTCCAAAACTGATCTCCTGATTGATTTATCCCAATGATTGGATTTTGAGAAATATCAAGATACACATGACATAAATGAATATCTTCTTCCATAGAATATGAAGCAGATCGAGGTGAAGCCATTGCAAAAGAAATATTTGTGGTAAGTAAGTGACTGTAAGATGTGTGATCATTCAAAGAGTAGTATACATTTATATAGAGAACTGAAGAAACAAATCAACGGTTAGATCTTCGCTGAACAACTTCAACGGTCTAGATTTAGTCGTATTTTTCTGATTGATAAAAAGCATGAAGTGACGAGTGAATGCAACGGTTAGATCTTAGCCGAACAATTTCAACGGCCTAGATTTAGTCTTATTTTTCTGATTGATAACAAAGCATGAAGTGAGTAGTGAATGCAACGGTTAGATCTTAGCCGAAGAATTTCAACGGCTTAGATTTAGTCTTATTTTTCTGATTGATAAAAAAGCTTGAAGTGACTAATCAATGCAACGGTTAGATTTTGGCCGAATAATTTCAACGGCCTAGATTAAGTCGTATTTTTCTGATTGATAAAAAGTATGAAGCGACTAGTGAATGCAACGGTTAGATCTTAGCCGAAGAATTTCAACGGCTTAGATTTAGTCTTATTTTTCTGATTGATAAAAAAGCGTGAAGTGACTAATCAATGCAACGGTTAGATTTTGGCCGAACAATTTCAACGGCCTAGATTTAGTCTTATTTTTTTGATTGATAAAAAGCTAGAAGTGACTAATCAATGCAACGGTTAGATCTTTGCCGAATAATTTTAACGGCCTAGATTTATTCGTATAGTTCTGATTTCAAAAAAAAATTATGAGGTGACTAATCAATGCAACGGTTAGATCTTGGCTGAACAAATTCAACGACTTAGATTTAATCGTATTTTCTGATTGAATAAAAAAGATAATTGAAAGTGATAATTTCTAACACTATAAAATGGGTTCCTTGTCTTGAGACTAAAATGCATATCATCTTTACTTTCTTCTCAAAATCATGAATTTCAACTATGGTAGTTCATCTTATACAAATTTTTCTTCTTCTTCTTCTTCATCTGATGATGAATTTTACGATGATATCGAAAAGCAGGCAGTAACTCAAATCACTGCAAATACTAATTTTCTCATCACTCAAAATCTATTTAATTCTGAGGGTTCTCATCGCGGATCAATTCCTGGTCATATAGTTATCAATCGTGACCGGGAAAATGCTGCTCGCAATCTCTTTAATGACTATTTTTCAGATAACCCTCTTTTTTCCGAGACAATGTTTCGAAGAAGATTTCGAATGAGCCGTCCCTTGTTTCTCCGTATTTTCGATGCTATACAAAGACATGACAATCACTTTGTCCAGCAAAGAGACGGTCTCGGTAAACTTGGGTTGTCTGGTTTGCAAAAAATCACTGCTGCATTTCGAATGTTAGCATACGGTTTACCGGCGGATTCTACTGATGAGTATATCAAAATAGGGGAGTCTACGGCTATAGAAAGTTTGAAGAAATTTTGCCGTGCTATTGTCGAGGTGTTTTCCAACCGCTATCTTCGATCACCTAACGCTAACGATGTTGCACGGCTACTTCGCATTGGTGAAAGCCGAGGATTTCCAGGTATGTTGGGTAGTTTAGATTGTATGCATTGGAAATGGAAAAACTGCCCAACTGCTTGGGGAGGACAATATGCTGGTCGGAGTGGATCTCCTACAATTATTTTAGAAGCTGTAGCTGATTATGATCTTTGGATTTGGCATGCATACTTTGGTCTACCAGGAACTAACAATGATATTAATGTGCTAGAAGCGTCTCATCTTTTTGCTAATCTAGCTGAAGGAACGGCTCCACCTGCTAATTATGTTATTAATGGGAAAAACTATAATATGGGATATTATCTAACTGATGGTATATATCCAAAATGGTCCACTCTTGTTCAAACAATTCATCAACCACGTGGTCCAAAAAAGAAATTATTTGCAAAGAAGCAAGAAGGATGTAGAAAGGATGTGGAACGTGCATTTGGAGTATTGCAGTCAAGATTTGCAATTGTTGCCGGGCCATCACGCTTTTGGAATAAGGAAGTGTTACATGATATTATGACAACTTGTATTATAATGCATAATATGATCATAGAAGATGAACGTGTTGATGATGCACATATTGAAGAACGAGCTGAAGTTCCAATTGCGGATGTTGAGAGGACTGGTGATGATGATGTTCAATTTCAAGAATTTTTAGCTCGACACAAAAAAATCAAAGATCGTGAAGCGCATATTGAACTTCGAAATGCATTAATTGAACATTTGTGATCTGAATATACTAATTCTGAAAATTAGTATGATATGATGTAATTTGTTTTTATTATTTCTAAATTCTGAATTGTAATTTGTATTAATTTAATAATGAATTAGTTTTGAATAATTAAGCATTCATTAAAACTTTTTAGAAAAATAAAAGAATCTTAAATTTAATAATATAATATAAAAGAATATTCTTTTTAGTGTGAGATTTGGTGTTTGTGGTTGGAGTTGAAAAAAAAAGTAGAACACCAAAACACCAAATTTGGTGTAGGAGCAACACCAAATATGGTGTGTGGGTTGGAGATGCCCTAAGACCAACTCCAATCGAACGGCATAACGGCATATTTGGTGCAGAATCATCTCCAATCACACGGCAAACTTCACACCAAATCTTTTTTTTTGGTGTTTTGTGAACAGTGTCACACCATATTTGGTGTGACACTGTTCACAAAACACCAAAAAATATTCTTTTTTTTTTCATTTATCTTTTAATAAAATAAGTGTTATATTAATAAAATAAGTATTTGTTTATTGAGTAACTAAGTGTATTTTAAGTTTAAAAAAAGTTGCTATTTAAAAATGATAAAACATTTTTATATTTTGCATTTTAAATTATAATTATAACTAGTATTCCACACAAAATATAAGTTAAACATAAATTATAACTAAAAATACATATTGAAATTCAACAAAAAACATTGGAAAACATAGGATTACAAAATTAAAAACAAACAAACATAAGAAAAATACTTAAATGCAACAATTTATTTTTTAAGAACATAATCTAATTTCCGGGAAAATAATTTCCGTCTCCACCAAGATAACGATAGTATTGGGTAAAATCTTGTGGATCATTTGGTGCTCTTTCATCTCCACCTTCAACGTGGTTTCCTTGAAATTGGTTTCCTTGAGTTTGATCTCCTTGATTTTGAGATGCTCGATATTGGCTGTGAGAACCTTCTCCGTGTTCTTCATATTGGTCTGTTGGTGCTCTTCTTTTCAAAATTTTCTCTCTTTCATTTTCGATATACGCACGACACCCTGGATCACTTATAGAATTTAAATCTGTAAATAATATTCTATTTTCTTCTTTCATTTTTGCTACCTGCACCTTCTGTCTTTGAATTTCGTTTCTCTCGGCAGTACCTTTAGAAATAGCTTTGATAAGCTTATCACTTTGCTCCATCATTTGTTTAAATTGATCTGAAGATTGTTGTTGTTTCTTTGCTTTCTTCACACCAATAGGTCGCTGAGAGGAATTAAAAGTGGTTTCTTCACTACTCATATTTAGATCAAATGAACTCATACCATGCGATGGCGATGACTCATCTTGGAATGATTGAGATGACATGACATTACGGCGTTCTTCTTGAAATGCAGTGGTTCTACTAGTGTGGTTGCTTGCAAATTTCTCAATACCTTTGAGAATAGGCCATACATGATCAAATTTGAATCCTGTCTTGTATTTGACATCTTGTCTTAACAACATCTTTGCTTGGTTTAACTGATTAATATTATAAGAAAAAACATAAACATGTTAGCAAATAAAACAAAGAAAAATGACAAAAATTAGAAATAGTTCAAATATATACTTACAATATCTTGGTCGGAAGCACCACTTGGATTTTTATTTTCAATCTGGTTAACGCATCCCCTCAGCTTGGAGACTGCAGAAAGAATTTTTGCCATTCGGGTTTCTAAGGATCTTTGTGGTCTTGGTTGATTACGAAAAATCTCAGATTTATCATATTCAACAAAAACCCTCCTCCAAAACTGATCTCCTGATTGATTTATCCCAATGATTGGATTTTGAGAAATATCAAGATACACATGACATAAATGAATATCTTCTTCCATAGAATATGAAGCAGATCGAGGTGAAGCCATTGCAAAAGAAATATTTGTGGTAAGTAAGTGACTGTAAGATGTGTGATCATTCAAAGAGTAGTATACATTTATATAGAGAACTGAAGAAACAAATCAACGGTTAGATCTTCGCTGAACAACTTCAACGGTCTAGATTTAGTCGTATTTTTCTGATTGATAAAAAGCATGAAGTGACGAGTGAATGCAACGGTTAGATCTTAGCCGAACAATTTCAACGGCCTAGATTTAGTCTTATTTTTCTGATTGATAACAAAGCATGAAGTGAGTAGTGAATGCAACGGTTAGATCTTAGCCGAAGAATTTCAACGGCTTAGATTTAGTCTTATTTTTCTGATTGATAAAAAAGCTTGAAGTGACTAATCAATGCAACGGTTAGATTTTGGCCGAATAATTTCAACGGCCTAGATTAAGTCGTATTTTTCTGATTGATAAAAAGTATGAAGCGACTAGTGAATGCAACGGTTAGATCTTAGCCGAAGAATTTCAACGGCTTAGATTTAGTCTTATTTTTCTGATTGATAAAAAAGCGTGAAGTGACTAATCAATGCAACGGTTAGATTTTGGCCGAACAATTTCAACGGCCTAGATTTAGTCTTATTTTTTTGATTGATAAAAAGCTAGAAGTGACTAATCAATGCAACGGTTAGATCTTTGCCGAATAATTTTAACGGCCTAGATTTATTCGTATAGTTCTGATTTCAAAAAAAAATTATGAGGTGACTAATCAATGCAACGGTTAGATCTTGGCTGAACAAATTCAACGACTTAGATTTAATCGTATTTTCTGATTGAATAAAAAAGATAATTGAAAGTGATAATTTCTAACACTATAAAATGGGTTCCTTGTCTTGAGACTAAAATGCATATCATCTTTACTTTCTTCTCAAAATCATGAATTTCAACTATGGTAGTTCATCTTATACAAATTTTTCTTCTTCTTCTTCTTCATCTGATGATGAATTTTACGATGATATCGAAAAGCAGGCAGTAACTCAAATCACTGCAAATACTAATTTTCTCATCACTCAAAATCTATTTAATTCTGAGGGTTCTCATCGCGGATCAATTCCTGGTCATATAGTTATCAATCGTGACCGGGAAAATGCTGCTCGCAATCTCTTTAATGACTATTTTTCAGATAACCCTCTTTTTTCCGAGACAATGTTTCGAAGAAGATTTCGAATGAGCCGTCCCTTGTTTCTCCGTATTTTCGATGCTATACAAAGACATGACAATCACTTTGTCCAGCAAAGAGACGGTCTCGGTAAACTTGGGTTGTCTGGTTTGCAAAAAATCACTGCTGCATTTCGAATGTTAGCATACGGTTTACCGGCGGATTCTACTGATGAGTATATCAAAATAGGGGAGTCTACGGCTATAGAAAGTTTGAAGAAATTTTGCCGTGCTATTGTCGAGGTGTTTTCCAACCGCTATCTTCGATCACCTAACGCTAACGATGTTGCACGGCTACTTCGCATTGGTGAAAGCCGAGGATTTCCAGGTATGTTGGGTAGTTTAGATTGTATGCATTGGAAATGGAAAAACTGCCCAACTGCTTGGGGAGGACAATATGCTGGTCGGAGTGGATCTCCTACAATTATTTTAGAAGCTGTAGCTGATTATGATCTTTGGATTTGGCATGCATACTTTGGTCTACCAGGAACTAACAATGATATTAATGTGCTAGAAGCGTCTCATCTTTTTGCTAATCTAGCTGAAGGAACGGCTCCACCTGCTAATTATGTTATTAATGGGAAAAACTATAATATGGGATATTATCTAACTGATGGTATATATCCAAAATGGTCCACTCTTGTTCAAACAATTCATCAACCACGTGGTCCAAAAAAGAAATTATTTGCAAAGAAGCAAGAAGGATGTAGAAAGGATGTGGAACGTGCATTTGGAGTATTGCAGTCAAGATTTGCAATTGTTGCCGGGCCATCACGCTTTTGGAATAAGGAAGTGTTACATGATATTATGACAACTTGTATTATAATGCATAATATGATCATAGAAGATGAACGTGTTGATGATGCACATATTGAAGAACGAGCTGAAGTTCCAATTGCGGATGTTGAGAGGACTGGTGATGATGATGTTCAATTTCAAGAATTTTTAGCTCGACACAAAAAAATCAAAGATCGTGAAGCGCATATTGAACTTCGAAATGCATTAATTGAACATTTGTGGTCTGAATATACTAATTCTGAAAATTAGTATGATATGATGTAATTTGTTTTTATTATTTCTAAATTCTGAATTGTAATTTGTATTAATTTAATAATGAATTAGTTTTGAATAATTAAGCATTCATTAAAACTTTTTAGAAAAATAAAAGAATCTTAAATTTAATAATATAATATAAAAGAATATTCTTTTTAGTGTGAGATTTGGTGTTTGTGGTTGGAGTTGAAAAAAAAAGTAGAACACCAAAACACCAAATTTGGTGTAGGAGCAACACCAAATATGGTGTGTGGGTTGGAGATGCCCTAAAGTCTCTAATTATATAGTTAGCGACTAAACAAATCAGATTATTTGTTAATTGATTTTTAAGTGGTAGCCATTTGATGGTACTCCGCTACGCTCGTCACACGGCTCACGTCACGTGACCAGACGTCTATTGTTGTTGTTTTGAAAGAACAGAAAACGAACGTTTGGTATCTTTAATCAAAATCTATCAGTCTCAAATTCAATACAAATTGTACTTATAGCTTAATTTGAAATGGTTTTTAATTTCGAGCTAAATAGCTTAATTTTCAACATACACGAAGCTAACCACATATTTTATAGTTTTGTGACCATCTAAAATGATTTGGGACTGAGTCATGAATAGCATCTGGCTTTCTTTCCTCCCTTACAAAGAAACAATGTCATGTCACGACTAGTCTACATCAATCAACTACACAAATAACACCAATTCTATTTTCAAATAAAGTTGGTGCACCCGTCGTTTCCCTATTATTATGTCAAAAATCACGTTCAGAAAATTAATTTTAAAAAAAAAAACTAATATCAACGTCTATATAAATAAAATAAAATACATTCCCACACGTAACGTACCTTGTTTTTCTAATTGTATTTTGTTGACAAAATAGTTCCTCCATGAAAGATTAAATCAATTTTCGAAGGCCTACCACTCACCCGCCCAAATAATAAATAAGCACTACCGGGAGATAGTAGTACTGCCAATTTATTAAACATTGTGATCTAACTAAAATATAAAAGCTCATTACTTAACTGGATGGGTAGCCTATTCTTGAATATAAATTAAATAAACGACTATGGTGGTCAAGTTATAAATTAGTGGAAATGTGATTTTTGCATGGACTGACAAAGATACTACAAAATTCTAGTCTTTTGTAAATAATTGTAAAATAGTGTGTTATCTACTAAAATAACTATATTATGTATCATTTACTTAATTATGAGAAATGTATCTATTGCATGTCACAATAGAAGAATCGACTCGAGGGCAATAGATGTGATTATCCAAAAGGAGTTTGGATTTTTCACGTGAAGAGAAAAATAAAAAGAAAGAAAAGAATGATAAAAACAAAAATGGAAGGTGAAGAGTACGAATCGTGCCGTGGGCGTGGGGTATCCGCATTATGATGTATCAACAAATTTTCAGACTGTCTTATGTGTTACACTTACACATCAAATAAAATAAAATTTCCGAAATGATTAGCAACAACAAACAAATATAGTGTGACAAAGGTTAAAACATCTGAGAGAGTGAGAGGTAACAATGATAACAAAAAACAAACCCGCGAACACAACGTTTTGGGCTTTTCTCAAGTAGGAGTTAAATACTTTTTGGGCTTCCAAAAGTCATTCATGTAAACTCGCCTGATATGTAACCAATGGCAATCTAAACATTTAAGGGACGAAAGCAATTCTCAAGTCTCATCTTAGCTATCAAAAGAGATAACGTGGATGAGGCAACACCACAGAATAACATTGCTAAGAACATTTGTGTCAAGTAAGCTAAGAGATTTTTAGTCATTAGTGTTGCTCGATGTTTGATGGTGGTGCTTCTTTCCAAACCTTGTATTCATAATTTCATATAATTTGATTAGTTATACAAGTTTGAAAACAAACAAGAGAATGTAATCTTTGTTTTATAGCTAAGGTTTGAGTCTGCATTCAAACCCTACCAATGTATATCTCTCTTTTTTCTTCCATATTTGCATCGGACCCTACCCTAGCTACCGTACGAAATAATATTATAGGACGAAATTTGTAATATCTAACCAATTATTCAACTGGGATGTGTGGTCCAAAACATCAGCGATGGCACGCCCTAAATTATCGGGGGGTTGAATTTTAGCTTCAATTTACAATGTTACGTATACTTTATATTATTGAAACAATCCTATATCGAAACAAACAAAAAAACGAATGTTTTACTAGGACGTTTAGTGAATACTATGTTGTAATATATTGTATTCTAGTAAATTGTTCAATTATAAGTTTCCCTCATTCCATATTGAGGCATCAATTGCCCCAGTTGCCTAGTAATAATATTGGTTGGCTTGGTCCCATAAACATATATAGGTTCCTAAATAGTAATGGATTCTTTAGATACCAAAGCAAGTGTCCATCTACACTAGCTTCGCTTAATATAGTTGCTAACTTGCTATGTCCACATGCATCATTTCGATTTTCGTACACATACATATAATTAATCATCTAAATCCTAGCTAAGAGTATACTAATTAATTAAATAAATATTCTGTCTAGGCGAGGGTTACAAAAAGTTATTTAATTGTGTAAAAAAACTTTAGAAATTTAGTTTGTAATTTGTCACAGGCCATAGGATATAATTCACATACGATTTTTCCGGTCGTCACATATATTACATAGACAATGCATGTCAGCATGTGAGATGTACCATGCATGTTAGGTTAAAGGTAGATCATTCAATCCTTTCCATATCCATAAAGCATATGATATGATATCACTAGTCTCAAGTCTCAAACAACAAATCAGATATATATATTTTTTATTAGACGTGAAGTTCGCTGATGTAGTGTGACCTAACATCTACTCACGAGTTTGATTGGGACTCGTTAGTGTTTTTGGAGTCCCTCGTAGAAACCTAATCGGATGAATAAAATAACTCAAACGGTTAGTTGTTCTGTGCATCAACGACGCGTCACTGTTCTTGTTCTAGCACGGGCTTCGTTTTTATACAATTATCTGCCTATTTTGAGAATATTTTCATCACTCTCAAGTCGGCAAAATGTAGGGTCATCATCAGTCATTAAATTAGTCACTAATTTGTGTTTCCTATTAATTGATATCCAAACATATATTCGTCATATAGTTTCAACGGAGAATTGTGGAATCAGCTAACTATAGTATTATAATTTGCGTGAGGAATTTAGATTGGCAATGGCACACACCCAAATAGCATTATTTTGTGAGAATTTCTTTCACGTTAGGAAAACGAAAAAAGTGTGTCTACTACTATACTTGATTTAATAGTGATAATGTTATAACTGTGTTCTAAACATCGGCGATTACCGGTTAATCGGTCGGAAAATCGTTCAACGGCCGACCACCGTGGAGATTAATCAAAATCGGAGATTTTTTGGTCAACGACATATAATTTGAAAAAACTTAAAATTTTCATTTGCTTTAACTTAGAAATCCAATATTGTATTGTAGATATGTAAGATTGGGACAAAGACAAACACGAAAAACTTAGATCTAGCATAAAAAAATGCAAAAAATAATGTAGTGGGTGCTGTAAATCGAACGGCTCATTAGAGTTTCCTGAACAAAATTTTGGGAAAGAGATGAAGAGTAATTTACAATTATACCCTTCATTAAAGCGAAACTAAGGAAAAATATGAAAACGAGTCTGCCGCAGATCAAACTTGTGAACAATATGATTAAGAACTGGCACGTTACCGCCAGACCGCATCAAGTATTGTCATAAATCACCTAAACCTATATTTATTTCTACAGAAAAGTTGAAAAAATCTTAAAAAAGAAATGAAAATTACAATATCTAATTTTTGGAATATGAATATCATTAATATGTGTTACTTATACAGTTATATATGTAAATATATTTTAAAATTAGATTAAATATAGTCAAAATTCATCCCCGTTTAATCTCCGCTTAATCTCCGTTTTAAAAAAAATCCCAAATCCTGACCCGACCGCCCGATTAACGATTACCGATGTTTTGAACATAGGTTATAACTAGGTGTAACCTAAATTCCTAAATCCTAATTAGTCCTAGTGAAAGCGAAGGCAAGATGGTGACGTTGGATCGCAATATAGAATACTAGAAGAAGGAGAAGAAGATGGTGGGGCCCTCGGGAGAGATCGAACGGCTGAGATGAAAAAGGAATCGTTTCTTAGGGCCAGAAATGACCCAAACAGGTGGAGCCCGCAGGATGACTAATCTCCACCGTCCAACTCGAAAATATTCGTTTCTCCTCTCCTCCGGTCGACTCACAAACACCACATCTTCAATCACACCTTTTTGGTGCTCTTCCCTGTGGAGTCCAAATCCTCGACACGTGTCGTGATCTCACTGGCGCGTATGGGTCCCACTCTCTGGCGTGATTCTCACCCTTCCCACATCTGACGGCTGCAGTTTGCCGCCGGGGGTGGTCTGTCTCTTCATCCACAAACGCCGCCGGTTACAGTTATATGCTTTTGTCTAGAGTCTAGACGATGTCAAAGATCAACGGCTTGAAGTGGAACCATGATTTAATCTGGACCGTAGATTCATTTTCCTTTTAGAAAAGTGGGGAGGTGTGGGTCCCATGTTTCAGTAGAGGCGTTTCTCTTGCTTGTTAAGACAACACAACACACAACTCCAACTCCACTCATGTCCAAATTTATACCACTATTCTTCTAATTTCGACCTCTCACATGTAATGTAAGTAACACTTGTATCGAAAAAGGTTTTCGGGTTATAAAATGTAATGGAAAACACTTAAAGCTATGGTTTCTTTAAGAAAACTGGACAATAGTTAAAAAAGAGTCGGAAGCAAAATGTGATGTAGTATTTCAATGGATAGGCGAGTCATGGTGATGTGACAATAAAACATCTTCTTTTTTTCAAAGCTTTACTCTATATATAGCTAGCTTACTTTTACTACTACTAATCAAACTTCTACCTCAAATGAATTACTATATATGACATGTATAGAAAAATGGACCTCTCTTTACAAGGAGAAGAATGCACTATTATTAATTTAGTAACCTCTAAGATCATCAATAAGACATTAAATGTTCTAAGTTCTAACTCTACGATCATCAATAAGAACAAACCAAAAATACAGTAGAGATATTTGTAGGAACGAAGTACGAACACATGGATAATACAATTTTTGTATAATTAAGAAAAAAGAAGAAAGAGATAATGGTAGAGAGAGTAAAGTACAGTAATAAAGATTCGTGGGACGGCGGGCGCATAGTTTGAGAGAGTGTCAGAGTCATCAGAAGACATAAACTCTTTTTTTTCTTTTCTCTCTCTTACGAAGAATCCATCAAAGCTGCCAAGCCACACACTATATACGTGTGTGTATTTGTGTATATATATATTCCACTAAAGCGACATTTTTTTAGTATTTTCTTAAATCTATTAAAATTCTCTTTTTTCGTCTTCTTCTTGCTTTTTTCAAATACCAGCTTTACCTTTCCACACACACTTCTTCCTTTTTCTCTCTCTCTCTCTCTACCTTTCTCTCTTCTTCTTCTTCTTCTTCTTCTTCACGGCTTTGATCAGCTTGCAATTTTCCATAGCCATGGACACAGCTAAATGGCCTCAGGTATATATATCTTTACTTTACTTTTATTTACTAATCTCTCTAAAGTTTCCTCCTTTATCAATAAAGCTCTCAAAGAAAAGAAACTGCTTTACTTTCTCTAAGATTTTCTTTTCCGATTAAAGTTGCCATCTTTTGAAAAGCTAGAAGAAGATGAACAAGTTAAAACGAAATTTCCAATCTTTTGTTTTGTGACTTATCTAAGAGAATAATTATATGATTAAAGGAGTTTGTTGTGAAGCCGATGAACGAGATCGTGACCAACACATGCTTGAAACAGCCGAATCCCATTGGTGCTGCTGCTACTCCGGTGGAGAGGAAAGCGAGACCGGAGAAAGATCAGGCTTTGAACTGTCCGAGATGCAGCTCCTTGAACACCAAGTTCTGTTACTACAACAACTACAGCCTGACGCAGCCAAGGTACTTCTGTAAGGACTGTCGGAGGTATTGGACCGAAGGTGGGTCCCTCAGGAACATCCCCATCGGTGGTGGCATCAGAAAGAACAAGAGATCTTCTTCCATTTCCAATTCCTCTTCACCTTCAAAGAAGTCTCTTTTTGCCAACAAGGACACGCCTCCACCACCACTTCCACATGTAAACCCTAAGATCGGTGGTGTGAATGCCAACGAGCCGGCTAAAGATCCCAACTTGGCGTTTTCTCAGGGTTTTGGGAATGCCCATGAGGTTAAAGATCTCAACTTGGCGTTTTCTCAAGGGTTTGGGATGGCTCATCATCATCTACATCAACAACATCAGAACATTCCTGAGTTTCTGCAAGTACTACCCAACAACATGAAGAACAACAACCCACTTGTCTCAACCTCTTCAGCTTTGGAGCTTTTAGGGATCTCTAACTCCTCCTCCAATTCCTCTAATTCTCGCCCTGCTTTCTTGCCTTTTCCTAACATTCACGACTCATCGATCAGTTACACACCAGCGTCTGGCTTTGGTCTGAGTTACCCACAGTTTCAAGATTTCATGAGACCAGCTTTGGGCTTCTCTCTCGATGGTGGGTATGGTGGGGATCCTCTACATCAAGAAGAGGGATCCAGTGGCACTACTACAGCCACGAATAATGGGAGGGGTTTGCTGCCGTTTGAGAGCCTGAAACATCCAGTGCCATCATCAAGCAGAAGCACCAATAGTGGTGGCAATGGGGATGGGAATGGGAATGATCATGAACATGAGAAAGAAGAAGGAGAAGCTGACCAGTCTGTTGGGTTTTGGAATGGCATGCTAAGTACTGGTGCTTCTGCTGCCTCTGGTGGTCGTTCTTGGCAATGATTATAGAGTCAAAAGACCCACAAAAAAGCATAAAGTTTAAATTTTTCATCCAAATTTTTAAAAGATGAGGGAGGTTTAACTACCATCTGGATGTTTGCTATGTTATTAGTCCTCTTCCTTCGGTTTTCTTTTTCTTAAAAAAATTATTGACTTTGTTGGGTTGGGGATGGATACTGTAAGACTTTTTGTATTTGAATCGAATCAATCTCAGTTGTTCGTTACCTAAATTTATGGGTTCTAAGCATCATTAGAGCATCCTGCCTAATAGTCTCTCATAATTAAGAACATCCTCTATCATAATGGTTTGTGTATCACAACTTTGGTGTAAAGACTGTTGTACAATTTAGCTACCAAATTTCGAGGTGTAGAGAAATGGTCATATTGACCTCTTTTAGACATAAAGCCTGTTAGTGTGTACTTTATAGGTAAAAGCCAAAACCCATTTAGTTTTCTATTCTTCTGATATTAGTCACATGATTATCTACTATACAAAACTCTACTTAACTTTAGTGAAAGACTGAAGAAACACAAAACGGTCAGTTTCTTAAACCAACTTGTTTATAAACCATTTTAATTCGAAAGAGTACAAGATAGAATTAATGGAGGCACTCCAACATTCCCCTCGGACTTTGTAACACTCTAGACTCTCTCCATCATCATCATTACGCCCACTACACTCGCTCTCTCTCTCTCTTCCCAACGCACAAAACATTTGTATTTGATTGGGTGTAAAACATAGTTGTGTTTAAGAATGCTGCTTACAACCATTTAATGTCAATTTAAGATGATGTATAGAGTAGTTAATTTGATCTTCACTGTGGTTGGTTCCGTACAACAGAGATTTACTAGTAAAAAAAAAAACTTTAATACGATTGTATAACGGTATAAAGAACATGTGAATCAATTATGGAAAATTAAATAAGGAAACATTCCGTTTTAGTAGTCGCAGTCCAAAAGTCCTCACCTCTCGAGTCTTTGAGAGAAAATGGCAGCCTATTTTGCAGATTAATTACACACAGTTTTGTTTAAACAATGTACTGTATACACATCCAAGTTAAATACTTGATGAAATAGGTGGTTAGGTGTAGGTATAGTTTCTGTTGCAATTGACTCTCCAACAACACTTTGAGCTCAACGTCTTCTCATTTGATTCCTTCTTTTGCTTTTCACAATCACAACATTTTTTCTGGTTTAGCTTAGACTTGACTAACTTCCAACTAGGACAAAACTGTTATAGATCCGAACTAGAACAGTGTCCATGTAACCTTATTGTTTACTCCATTATTAATTTGCATGAAGAAAGACAAACGTGAATATATATTAGTTTATGTTCTGCTGACGTAAAAGAAGAAACCGATTAGACTGCTACTTTTTAGCTAAGGAAAAGGGATACATCAAACATGGCACACTCATCGTCGATAGGAAATGACTAGATAATCCCGCCCTCTTTGTATGGCTATTTTGTTTTTGTTCTTCTCTGACTGGACTTTACAAGAACAGTTTATAAAATAGAGTAAGCAAGAATCCAAAAGTGACAATGTCGACCGTATATTTATATATATGATTTTAAGATTCACTAAACCAGCGGGTTCAGACTTACAAAACCCATCTCTGACTTCTTTTAGCTTTTACATTAAATGAGGGAAAAAATCTAATAAGAAGAAGAAGACAAAAGTGGCACATATGTATTTTCAATTCAAGGTGTCGATGATCATGGGGATGATTACCTATCTCTCGATTAGGTAAAGCGAAAATGGTTTCTTTTATTGGCCTGCATTGATTCCAAAGATGCGAACCTTGTGCATGTGCGGGAACTTTGCAACCACCATTATAAAGACGGCGAGCGTGTTGAATAACAGCATGGGATGTTGATAGTCTGTCGTGTGAGATGCTATCAAGTACCTACACACCAAGTCCCAAGGTCAAACACACATATCTTCATTCTTCATTCACAACAAGATATGGGAATGAGTACACCAAGCATATAACAAACAAAAACAACAAAAACAATATGGTTTCATATTCCCTGCACACTTTCTCTGGGAATCCTGAGCACCAACGCTCAATCTAAGGCTAATCGGCACTGAAGAAACTAAATCCTAAAAGAGAAAACCTGGACCCCATCATGTACAGGGTGATCAAAGTAAACCCAACCAGAGAACATCCTAACACACACATAGCAAACCAAAAGTTTCGAAATAAGACTCAACAGCTGGTATAGACTATAGATTATATGAGTTTCTGAATGTGATTTGCCATAAAACGAGGAGAGTGAAAGAGGTTGCCAATAATTCATGAATAAAAAACAATGTACAGTTGTTACAAAAATACAATTAAACAAAACAAAGCAGCTTATGACGAAGTCTAATTATGATAAACACAGCTGACTCAAATCTCTATTGTATCAAGAGGAACATTACCGCATTATTGTATAACAAAATACGGAAAATGGGAAAGAAATAAACCAGCAAATGGTAGGCACAAAGAACTATTTGGTTCATTATCGCTGCATAACTGTAGGCAAAGGGAACACAAAGAGAAAGAAAGCATCGCTTGTGAAGTGAAATAAGAGGTCAAAGTGTGAAGAGTAATACGCAAAAGAGGGAGCACATAACGCATATGCGATTCCAAGTAAAAAGAATGTCAATTTACACACAATGAAGCTGAAGCAATCAAGCAAGACGTTAGGCAATGGGATCCCCAGTTTATATCAATCTACATATCTTACAAATTCCTCCATCGTTGCTATACAAAAGGCGAAGGCATACTAACTAACTAGATGCTATTGTCGATTGGAAGAAGAAAGAAGAGCTTACAGGACAACGGGAACAAGAGTGAGAAACTTGCGATTGCGAGTGAGCTGCTTGCCGTTGTCAATCTGCTCCCACCAAGTCAGCCTGTTGTAGATTCCCTGGTCATCCCCAAACGGCGTCCCCTTCTTCCAGTGGAAGAAATGATACGTTACCTGAGAAACAAACAGAAGAAGAAGAAGACGACGACTCAGATTAAGCCGATTCAGATAATGATTCGATTGGAAATCGAAATTTCGAAATTGACATACGGAGAAATGGGCGAGGTGGACGATGGTCCAGGCCATGCCAGGGGAACAGTTGAAAATGGAGAGAACGAGGAGCCAACCGAAGAAGAGGATTAGGATGTAAGTCGTCCAAACCCCTGGATACGTGAACCACTCCGTATTCCGATTCACATCCGTCGTCGGAAGCGCTCGTACGTACATCATTCTCCTCTACCCCCAATTCCCCAATACCAAGATCTAATCTCTCTATCTCTCTCTCTCTATCTATCTATTTCTATCTCTATCTCTATCTCTATCTCTGATCGATGCGAAAAAGGAAAACAAAACTGCCCCCTCCGATTTTCCGATGATGATAATCAAATTCTCTTCCTTTCCGTCTCTGATCTCTCTCTCTCTCTCTCTTCAAGGAAGAAGAAAACAAACACGTAATCGGGTCTTCTTCTCTCTCTCTCGGATTTCGCTTTCGCTGTCCATCAGGTATGGGCTGAGCTAGAAAGCTTATTGGGCTTAATAAAGCCCATGTGATCGATCTCTCTCGAAAAAAGCCCATCGTTAGTCAAAACGGGTCCTACAATGAAATGAATCATCAGTGAGCCTGACAAGGGAAAGGAACAGTAAAAGCTTTATTATTGTGTGGGAAAAGATAATCTGACAGCCTGGGCTCTGTTTGCCTCCTCATCACCGACACTTCACCCCTCAATTTCAACGTGTCATCGAGCTGCCCATCCAATCCTTTTCCTCCACGTGTCTTCTTGTGCTGACGGAGGAATCTTTCCTCGTGAAACAGGTCCCGCGCTTTTTCTGGGACACACAGGACCCCATTTTTTTAACTTTTTCTTAAAAAATTCTCCTTTCTTCTTCTGTAATTACTATTCACTCAGAAAATAAATACTGTACTACTAGGCACTAGCTAATTATCAGTGGGAGGATTTACATATTTGGAGTTCTATATGTTGTATAAAATACTCTTTTTTTTAGGCTAACGAATTCAAAAAAGTAAACAATTATAAAAAAAAAGGGTAAAATATTATATTAGTCTGAAAGTGAGTATTTTGAAATTATAAGAAGAACAAAAAAGGGTCAGGATAAAAAGATGTAGGGGTCTAAATCATGTAAATGATAAGTTGTGGGGTCGCCAGAGTGAAATCAAATCGAAATATATAAAGACAAAAGAGTTTTAACTGTTTGAGGGTACGAATAAGAGACATTCCCTGACAAACCTTGTCTTGTCCAAAGCAGAAAATTGATTGTATGGGTGCTTGTGCACCGTAGCACTATATGACAGTCTTCTTCTCTCACTCCAACTGGCCGCACCTTGGAGTTTGAGAATGTTCATGATTGGTTGGTTAATTTATCTTTCTACGATGTTTTTTAGCCGTTTCAAAATAGAATTATCGAATGATTAATTTGCTAATCCTGCTGTCCAAACAAGAATCGTTGATACACCTTGGAGGTCTCTTTTGAATTACCTGCACGGTACAAAAGTGTTTCAAGGGTAACTATAAAGATAGCACATTTCAATCACATGTGGGACAATACTATACACTATAGTTGAAATCTCTATTTGAGGTGATCACAATATGGATGCTCTAACTATGTGATCAATCGTAGTATATGAAATTGACTTATGCTTTTGTCAAGATAAATTGACTTTCTTGCTGAGTCAAAATCATTACGAAGAAATTATTTTTAAAAAAGAAAAAAATCTTACATGTCATATACATATGTTTGTGGTCTCTATACACAAATGACTAATTGAGAATAACAGTTGATAAAGCACAATGATACATCTTCGAGAGAATCCCATGCATACACTTAAAAACAAATAAAAACTAACATGATTCCATTCTGGATCGTCCATTACCAAGACATAAACAACTTGTGCTAAACTTTTGTCAACAACTAAAGTTTTCATATCTTGTTTAGCCCATATTCTCTGGTTTTTCAACTGCAGAGCCGATCCCTTGGTTAAGAGGGCGAGAGATCATAATGTTAGTTTTTTGCAGGTTATACACGCTACCGATTTGGCTAGAAACCACTTTTAATCTGAAAGTTGATCAAAAGAAATATATGTATGTGTTAATGTTATATGGTTGAATGTTATAAGAATAACTAGGCCTACATGTACTGGATGTGTCTAATATTGCCATCGATTGATACGTATATATGTGTTTCATGACAACGATCCACGAGCCTTGAATATATCTTGGCTGGAGTTATGTGCGTAATCTAATTAAGGTCATCGGCACACTGCACACATATACAAAGTTTGTGTTTTCACAAATACATATGAAAAGTTCGTGAAAAGGGAATGATGATAGTGGGAAATAGCATGATGGTGTTACCATAAGAGTTTCATAACAAATATAAGGATTCCCATCGAACTTGGTCCTTTCTTTGGGACAAAGCGTGCTTTGCTTCCCCTTTCCCTTTTTTCCTATATCGCTAACTGTATTTGCCATGTTCATTTTCACACATTTTTGTATGTTTAAATTACTGTACCCCCGTATAATAATGTGATCAGTCTTGATATACGATTGAGTCTACGAGCATTCGGTATTCAATGCAGAACCAAATTCGTTTTAGATCGGCTAATTAAAAAAAGATTAACGACTATGTACTGGTGGGTAAAGTTGATTTACGCTGAAGACATCAGTGTGTTTTCTTTTCCTAATTTGAGGAGAAAATGACATAATAATTGAAATTGATGTTCCAACAAAAAAATGTGGGTGATCTTGGTTTGCAATGGAAAACTGTGAACACAGAAAAAGACTTGACGTTAAGAACATGATGTTCGACAAGAATCACAAGACTAGCAACCACCAACTTTTCTCATATTGCAAAATTTGGGAGATTGATGCATCTCTTCGAATGAAACAGAGAGCAAGAGCAAGTTACTTTAAGAGAGTATCAACAACAAAAGATTAGTGGCTTTCTTTGTCTACAATTTTGCAGAGTCTAAATCATTTTTGTTGAAAATAAAATAAAAAGTGTTATATCAAAACTATCATAATCATACAAAAAAATTTACACAACACTTATTTTTTCAAAAGTATTTCAGTGGCAATTTTTTACTAGTGTAATTTGTACGAATCGATCAATATATTTTATATGCTGAGTTGTTGACAAATCTTACGTTTGGTAAAGTTAAGATTCATTAAGCAAAAGAAACAAATTTTGTGCTCTACATATTTCGTAACAAAAAAACAAGCGTACAACACAAAATCCCACTTTTGGATTTAGTTCACCACTTTCGGACACCGTTGGAATAGAAACGGAAAGTTTTGGAAAGGGAAACTGAAACAATTAAAGAAGAAAAAGATTAAGTGAAAATCTTGATGCCATTGACTTTTGTTCTCAACGGCCATGATTGAGCGTGTGATGAGTATAAGAGACCAAATTATGGCTACTCCTAATAAACCCAAAGAAATAAAAATTGACGAGCTTTTCTTCATTTTGATTTGTAATTATAAACACTTTCCATTTCAGGATTTGTGGGTATCTGTTATATATTCTCTACCACTACCAGAAAGCTAAAAAAATGTTAAATCAAAGACTAAAGTGATCACTGATGTATGTGTCTCACTTACGCAAGTGTGTGGTGTGGAGACGTTGCAAGTAACAAAAATGGGTGTCAAATATTGACGCATGTGTTTTCGAACGCTTACTATATCCGGTTTGTAATGTATATCTATAGTAATAGATTCAGTAAAGGAGATTGATATGTTTTAGTCCTAGATATCAGACTTTTATAGTGTAGTTTTTTACGACACATAAAATCGTTTCAAACATCAATATAGCACCATATAAATATCCAAAATGAAAGAATTTAAAAGCCATTCTTAAGATATTGAACTAATTTTGAAATTCTTCTTTGCATCAATTTTCATACGAAGAAGTGGATTCAAAACTAACTAAGTCAAGATTATCATACCAAGAATTCAAGATTTAGGTGACTCATATTTGGGGGACCTCATTGGCCCTTAAACGAGGCGTACAACCAATTTTTGTTTTTGTTTTTAACTTTTTATTGTGGATCTAATCATATTTTTTACCCAAAATCTTTGCGATGTAGTATTAATTTATAATAACATCATTCATCAATAAGTAGAGCCGTTGAGGGTTCAAAAAAAAATGCAAGATTGTGACATCGACCTGTCAATAGTTACTCATACCCTCACGGCCAATTGATGAACCATTTGTGTGTGTGGGAGTATTTGTTTGTTATTGATCACACTTGACTTCTCAATGTTTTTAAGCAAATTAAAACACTAAATTAATAAACATCTCTTAACAATATATATACTTCTGATAATTTCTTACCAATGTAATATCACTTGAAAAACTGATCTTTGAGTAACCTATCTACATGATGCCGATCAACAGCTCTGATTTTTATAAGGGACCCTTTTTAATTATACAATTAGTTCTACTTTACTACTAGTTCTTACCATCGCATTTTGCCAGTTTAAATATTATACGTCGTAGGTTGCCTCTTTTTAAGTCAAATAAAGCCATATTTCTTATAGTTGTAGGAGTATATAAGAATGAACCAGTTTATAATTTTACCAAAACAAAAGCTGAAGTAGTAATAAACGTATAAAACAAACTAGCACAGACTACACTATTTTATAAAAAAAAATATTTTAGTCCCTCCAATAAAATAAATAATTGCAAAATTATAAAATGATGTTCAAGAAACGAGGAAGAAGGGAAATTGTATCAGAAGATGATCGTTCGAAACACCCCCACAGCCCCCATTATCTTTCTCGGTGGGGATCACACATATTTTTAATTATTGTTTTTTTTTTATCATTTTTTTTTTCTTTTAAATATTAATTTTATTTTATGTATTCTATTTCACCACTTGTTTTATATCGAAAACATGAAATACGTAGGTTTAAAGTGCTAACACAGTAATAATTATAGGCTTCTAGCAAACCACTAAACTATAACCATATGCTTTGGTAGATTGACTAGATTCAGTCAAAGGTTTGTTGATGATTCTAAGATTGAATATTAAAGTGTATCATAAATTCGTATCGAGTATGCATTAATCCATATCAAATAAATGAAATCTCCCTTTATGAAAATGATACCTCGAAGATCCTCTCCTGTAATAAATTTCAAAAGACAACAAATAAATATTATCCCATAAAAGCAAACTTTTCCTTTTAACCGGTAATACCCGGTGTGGTTCTCGTCACTTCCGGGGCAAAAGCGTGACTGGACACCGGCAAGGCAAATCAAAATACAATAAAATAATTATATAGAAGAAATTATATTATTTAATTCCTCAAACTTCTCTCTCATCTCCCTCAGACAAAAAAGGCTCCTCCACTTCTTATCGAATTGCAGACATTTCAATGTACACACACAATATATACATTAAAATAAATCTATAGCTTGTGTTTGTTTTATATATATATATATATATATAGAGAGAGAGAGAGAGAAGGACAAAGCTTCGAACTCCTTTTTAATTGCTTGAACAAAAAGCAAAAAAAAAAACAAAGGAATTTTCTCTGTGTCTCAGTTTTGCTGCACTGCCTAGATAAAAGAAAGAAAAACTATAAAAACCGACATTATTTCCTCTGTTTCCCAGCTTTTATCTTTGGAGTTTGGTTTCTGGAGAAGACAAAAGTTCCTGTCCTTTTAAGAGTTCGAGATCTTGCAGAAATAAGGGGTCTTCTCGAGTTTCGTAAAGCTTGACCCGTTTTGTGAGCTTTTTCCGGTCGGATTATTAATTTGGTGATGATGAGTTCAGAGGTTAAGCAGATATTGAAGAGTCTCTGTTTCAGCCATGGTTGGTCTTATGCTGTCTTTTGGCGCTATGATCCTATTGATCCCATGTATGATTCCTCTCCTCTCTCTCTTTTCATGCATGTTTCTTTCTTGGATGAGATTTCCACTAAACAAACTAGTGTTTTTTTTTTGTTGTTGATTCATGCCAAGACTATAATTGCCTCTTGCTTTGTGTTTATATTTCATTTCTTTATTTTGAGAAAGTTTTTTTTTCACAAATATAATTAACTTTTCTTGAATTATCTCTCCTCGGTGGAAATTAATGAAATTCAGGTTATTGAGACTTGAAGAAGCCCACAATGATGAAAAATCAGCTGCAGTCGTTGATGATATGAATCTCCAGGCTCATATCTTAGGCCAAGGGTAAGCTCTACAATTCATTCATATATGTATATATGCATGTATTGGTAAATATATGTGTAATGTATCTTGACTAGTCTTTTTTCTTTTTTGATGACATTCCAGATTAGTGGGAGAAGCTGCTTTAACCGGAAACCATCAATGGCTCTTCTCAGACACACTGTTTCAGGTTTGTTCTCCAAGATGATACTTGGTTGTACATAGAACATTTTAAGAAGAAGAAGAAGTATATCTAATAGTTATGTGTTTTGATTGTTTTGCAGTGTGAGCATGAGTTTCAGAATCAATTTCTCTCTGGCTTTAAGGTACTTAAGTTGTCTCAAATTTTAAGGATTCATATGATCCATTTGAATCAGATTGTTATATAGAAAATGTTTTTTTTACAGACCATCGCAATCATTCCAGTAGGATCCAGCGGCGTTGTTCAGTTAGGATCTACTCAAAAGGTTAGCATAAGAAAAATAACAAATGCATGGAATTATATTGGTTTCTTGCTGTGGAAGTCATGGACTAGTTAATAAGTGTTTTTGAACCTATCTATCTTGACTTAGGTTGTTGAGAGCCGAGAGATGTTGGACCAAACAAGAAGAGCTGTTGAGGACATGTGTTTGAAACAACAACAAGATCAATCGGTGGATCTTGATGCTCTGTTCGAGTCTCTAGTACCACTCGGAGACAGTGATAATATTGTCCCTGAAACTCTTCAAGGACTCAGCTTTGATGACATCTTCGCCGACGACAATCCTCCTTCTTTGCTCAGCCCTGAGATGATGATGGTGGTTTCTTCTGATAAAACCACCTCTGAAGCACCACTAAACCCTGATGATCAAACCAATATCGGAGATGATTTTGGGTTTGACATTCTCAACTCTTACTCTCTGGACGACCTCTACCAGCTGCTCGCTGATTCACCACCACAACAGAATTGCTCACTAGATGATGATGATCATCATCAGGAGACTTCCATGGTGATCCAAGGAAACGACAAGGATCTATTCGACATGTTGGGGATCACTTCTGAAGATTCTTCGTCGGCTAGCCATGAAGGATTTGGTGCAATGCCGCCTAAAGGACTCTTCTCTGAGCTCATAAGCACTAGTCTCAGCAACAGCAACAGCACTTGTACTTCTCTCCCAAATGTGCAACAACAAGACTATTACTCTGGTCTGAATCAGAGCAAAAGACGGAAACTTGAGTCCTCATCAGCGCATAGCTCATCAAGCTTCTTTCCACAGATGATGTATGAGGAGGAGAGAGAGAGAGTAAGAGCTCCTCCTCTCAACAATGATCCGCAGAGGAGTTTGTGGATTGATGAGGAGAGATCGAGCGTTGGAGGGAACTGGAAGAAGCCGCATGAAGAAGGTGTGAAGAAGAAAAGAGCAAAAGCAGGAGAAAGCAGGAGGCCGAGGCCTAAGGACCGTCAGATGATACAAGACCGTATTAAGGAGCTACGAGGGATGATTCCAAATGGATCAAAGTGTAGCATTGACACGCTGCTTGATCTGACGATAAGACACATGGTGTTCATGCAAAGCGTAGCCAAGTACGCAGACAAACTCAAACAACCATACGAGCCTAAGGTGAGTCAGAAAAAATATACTAATTAAGCAATGAATGCATATCTTGTACTTTTCTTGATGAATGATGAATGATGATGATGATGCAGCTGGTGAAGGAGAAAGAGAGAACATGGGCGGTGGAAGTGGGGGACGGTGATGAGCCGGTGGCATGTCCGATCATCGTAGAGGAAATGAAGCCGCAAGGGCTAGTGCAGATAGAGATGATGATGGAGAGTGGGGATCAGTTTCTTGAGATTGCAGATGTTGTGAGAGGTTTGGGATTGAACATATTGAAAGGAGTCATGGAAACAAGAGAGACAAAAATGTGGGCACACTTCATCGTCGAGGCAAAGCCACACGTCACTAGGATTCAACTCTTTTGCTCACTTGTTCACCTCTTCCAACACAGAAGAACCTCATGACTTGGGACTTACGCTTCTCTATACTCTGCATTTCTTGATTTTACAACATCAACTGATTATTTTTCTTTTGATTTGATTGGTGGATCCAAAAAGAAATCTGTTGATATGATAGTTTAGTAATCCATGATCCATCCCAAAGCGTTTGTAGAAAAGAAAACATCACATCAAAGATTTATTTTAGGCTTTAAGCAATGAGTGTGTGTATGTGTCCTTTTCTTTGTTCTATCGTTCTCTGTATGCAAATAGTGGGCTTCTTGGACCTTAGTTTGTACTGTTCTAGGCCCATTCGGGATTTTGTATGCGTGTGTCCATGTAAGACAAAAGGCACAAAGAAGGCCCATTTAAAAATGAGACGACACCGTTTTCGTGGATAGACTAAACAACCTAACTGAATCAGAAACATAGATTCGAGAGAGAGTATATAACTATTTATTAATTTTGATTTTGATTTGGTCGCCAACAAAAACAATTCTCTTCCTCTTCTCTGCTCTTTAGGGTTTTTTTGTTTTCTGATTATTTTTGGTTTCTTCCAAAACGTTGCCTACCAGAACATCGCGAAATTGCAGCTTCATCTTTCAATTCTCTGCTTTGCGAAAACAACAATGGTGGGGATCAATTGAGTTGCTCTATCCAATAAGAGACACGCTACACCTCACCGTTATCGTCTCGGAGATGGGGATTCCCTTCGCCGCCAAGCTCCGTTTCCGGTCGATGTTTCGATCGGCGATTGACTCCTACTGCTTCGCTCGTGAGGCCTTCTCCGATCCAATCTCCTTCAGCGTTCTGTAACCCCATCCCGCTTCTCCCTCGATCTCCTCCTTCTTTCTCCTCTTGTCTTCTCCTTCTCCTTCTGCTACCGGAATTCTAGGTTACAAATCGGCGATGGAAGAGGCTGACTTCGCCGAGAAAGATCCCACTGGTCGCTACATTAGGGTACACTACACCTTTCCCTCACCTGCAATTTCCATTAAATTACTCTTGTGATTATGCTTGCATTGCTGATTTGTCTGCCATTTTATCCTTCTCCCTTGGAATATAGTGATCATTTTTTCTTCTTCTTTCTTCTTCTTCTTCCTTCAGTACGATGACGTTCTGGGGAGAGGAGCCTTCAAAACTGTGTATGTTTTTACGTCCTATGCTTTAGATTGCAAGGCTATGTATGTACTGGAATCCTATTGCTCAAGTTTTCTCATTTCTCCCTTTTATCAGATACAAGGCATTTGATGAAGTCGAAGGGATTGAAGTTGCTTGGAATCGTATGAGCATCCAAGACGTAATGCAGATGCCTGGCCAACTTGAAAGGCTCTACTCTGAAGTCCATCTCCTTAAATCTCTGAAACATGAAAACATCATCAAGCTCTTCTACTCTTGGGTTGATGATAAGAACAAGACCATCAACATGATCACTGAGCTTTTCACCTCCGGTAGTCTGAGGGTGTAAGTCTCCCAAGTCCTCTCTTCTCTTTTTTTATTTCTCTCTCTCTCTTCACAGTGGATGTATCTTGATTGTGGTTTCTCTTTTATGCGTAGATATCGTAAGAAGCATCGGAAAGTTGATCCCAAGGCCATCAAGAACTGGGCTAGGCAGATCCTTAAAGGCTTGCACTATCTGCATTCTCAGAGCCCTCCTGTAATTCACCGGGACCTCAAGTGCGACAATATATTTGTCAATGGAAATACTGGAGAGGTCAAAATCGGAGATCTTGGGCTCGCAGTTGTTATGCAGCAACCCACTGCTCGAACCGTGATAGGTAATGATACTATTGAACTTCTTTCAGTCTATGCTGGATGTAGGCAAATCCATTACACCTGAATATTTTCTTTTAGTTTGCGCAGGTACTCCTGAATTCATGGCGCCTGAGCTTTATGACGAAGAGTACAATGAACTTGTGGACATCTATGCTTTTGGCATGTGCATGTTGGAGATGTTAACGTGTGAATATCCTTATAGCGAATGCGGAAACCAGGCTCAAATATTCAAGAAGGTTACCTCCGTAAGTCTGATGTTATGATATATGGATTACAGTTTCTCTTGGACACCTCTGTTGAACCGTTGCATTTCGCAGGGTATAAAACCTCAATTTCTCAGCAAAGTGGATGATCCTCAAGTTAAGCAATTCATAGACAAGTGTCTCCTCCCTGCTCCTTGTAGACCAACTGCTCTCGAGCTCCTGAAGGACCCGTTCCTTGCACTAGATGGTGCCAAGGACTCCACTCTTGTTGTTCCATCAAACGCAACAACGCTTAAACCTGCAGCAAAGCCACTACAGTCGGAGCATCTTCCTATGGATGTGGATCATAAGGAGAATCCAAGTGGTTCCATCTGCTTCTCTGGTAAAAGCAGCCAAGAATACCCATGGCTCCAGACCATTGAAGTCCATAGGTTTGCTGATGATACCGTATTCAGGTTGTGTGGAGAGAGGAAAGATGATGCGACAGCGTCAATGGCTCTGCGTATCGCTGGCTCTTCTGGTCAAGTAAGAACAATCGATTTTGACTTCTATCTGGAGTCGGACACAGCAGCAGCGATTACAGAGGAGATGGTTGAGGTGCTTGAGTTGTCAAGCCAAGAGGTTATTGTGATCGCTGAGATGGTAGATGACCTTATAATGAAGCTGAACCCAAGCCTGGCTCATCCATATCAGTCAAAGAATGAAGAAGCTGGAGAAACAATGAAGTCAGACATATCAGCAGACTACTACTATCCGGTCTCCTCAAACGAGGGTGGTTCAGGGCTTGAAGAGTCCTTGATGACCTCGTTTCTGGATTCGTGCTCAATGATGTCAAACCAACAACACTCAGAGGATCTGAAGACGGAGCTGAATTTGATCGAGTCGCAATATAACCACTCGTTTCAACGGCTCATGAGGCTGAGGGAGGAGGCTATAGAGAACGCAAAAAGGAAATGGATGAGTTTGGCAAGTGCGCACAAGCAGCTTTGATTCCTTCGTTTAGCGGTTTTGGGATTTGCTGCTTTTTGGTTTGTTCCTTCACTCTCTCTCATTATCATATTTGTTTTTTTCGTCCTTTCAAATGTTATCGTTTGTCGCCGCATTGGTTATGTAATCAGGAATCATATTCAACGAATGAAATCTCTTTGATGTTTATCACTTATGTTATTAAAGCTTTTTGTTGGAACTTCAATATTTAGAATTACATGGATTCTTTGTAGTACATGATAAGATTTGGAAGTAAATTACACTAGTTTATAATTTTTTTTTTTCAAAATCGAATTGACGAGAAAAGGTGATTCGAAGGCGATGTAAAGTATGTTTAAATAATAAATATCAAAAAAGAAGAAAAAACCAATCATTTTGTTTTTTGGACAAAATAAATAAAATATTTAAAAAATGGCATTTCACATGGTAGCACCGACGACGACAGCGCAGGCCAGCGAAGCAACGACGCTGGAGAAAGCAGAAATGAGCAACGACGAGGACGACGATTTCTGATTGAGAGGAATCGACCCAAATGCGTTTTGGTAAGAGGGAGCGTCGGCGTCAGCGGAGGACGACGGAGACAAGGCGTCTGCTTCGGCGGAGTAAGTCCCGACGGAGACGAGGAGCTTCTGGTACTTTTGACAGTGGCCTGGTTGTCCACTTGTGAAGTAAAAGGTTCCGTTTTGGGTGAGGTTGAAGAGAGAGTTTCCGTCGTTCATGTACAAGATTGGATCTTTGGTGTTGCAGTTCTTGAAACTGGATGGCGTCACTTGAATCAGTGAATCTTCGCTTGGTGGGTACAAGAACACTGCCAAACATTAAAGAGATTTGGATTGTAAAAGAAAGATACTTGAATTGAGAAGGAGAATGAATGATTGAGATTCACGAATGCTACTTACAGAGAGAGTCGCCGATCTTGAAAGAGTGAGTTTTGGGCCATTTGGAGTAGACTTTAGCATCAATTGGGATGCCCCATGAGTCCAAGTCCCCAACTTTGTATAGTGTCGACGACACTTTACCAATCTCTTGTCCTAATAATATCATCACCTGCAATAACAACACCATTATGCTCCTCAATCTCATCATTCCCATTTCTCTCTTGATTATTGGTGAGTTTTGTTTCTTAGATCTCCTGAAAAGCTCATATATATTGGTGTAGGAAAGGAGTGGGAAATGACGGTTGTACCCCTGAGGATTTGGCACATGGCCTGAAGTGGGCACTGTCGCATCGCATCAATACATAAACGGTCTAATCAAATTTCATTTTTCTATGACAAAGTGTCTGCTTGTGTATTGTTTCCACATGGCCACCAAGTCTTTGTGCTTCCATAGATTCATGTGTTTAGATGTATAACTTCATGGTGACTAGTACTCGCTCGCATTGGCATTTCCACATATGAACAGAGACAAACATTGCATAATTCAAAACTGAGTTAGACGACTCTGTGTTTCTACATACATATGATTGGATTTTATAAAAGATTGTTTTTCGAGAAACAAACAAAAAAATTGAAAGATTGAAGAAGAATAATGGCCAAAGCCCAAATACAGCTGATGTGCACAGGTTTGAGTGTTGGCTACATCTGGTGAAAGCACAAAATCCAAATATAACTAACAAAACGTGGAAAGACTTTATGAAGTAAAATAGAACTAAACGAATAATAAAGAGAAGCAGAAAAATCATCAAAAGAGAAGAAGCCGTCTGAGCAAAACAGCATTTACTCTATCTCTTTGTTTATGTCATCGGAGATGGAATCATATCGGTTATTTATGGGTTAAGAGGGTCAACTTCTGAGGTCATCTCCTTTGCTGCTGACCACTCTTGTGATCCTACAATCAATAATGATCAAGATTATTATTAGATTAACATGCAAAAGGTTAAGGTAATGTTCATCCTTTAGAAACTCATGCACGGATGCAGTGAATATGAGTTGTGAATTTGATATACTGTATTATTTCAATGATGGAATATTCCCAAGCCCACTAGTTACTTTGTAATTTGTATGACCCAATCAAGCGTGTGGATGACAGAAGACTTACTTGACCTGTGGACCTCGGCTACATTCATCAACCTCCTTTGCAAAATAGAGGCCACGAATAGGAATACAGAGCACATCCCAAACATCACCGTCATTGGAAACGCATCAACCTTTATCATACAAACAACAGAATAGCTCGTTAGGTCCAAGGTTCTGTACATATATAATGGATGTTGAATAAACAACTTTTTATTATCTAAGGGTTACCACGTAGATACTACCACTTGAATCCATATGATGGATATTGAATAAATAACTTTTAGACTGTGCAGTAAGTATTTAAGGGATAGGTAACGAAATGAACTCCAGATACACTAACAAAATGTTCCTTATTAGCAGAGATGCTAGCACTAGTGTCTCGAACAAGTCAGATAAGTGGAAAACTCACATTGTACAAGACAAGGCAGACAAAGATGTTGAGTGGGATGCGGAAGAAATTCATGATGGTGCTTCTGGCTTCCTCTGGAATGTATTGAGATCTCATCTTCATTATAGATGGCCAGAAGATTCCTACACACGCTTCAAATGTGCAGAAACCAATAAGCTGAATGCATCCAGGGAAGGATATGCTTCCACCTTTTACACCTGCGGGCGCCACCAAGAACTGTTCCAATTTCATTGGCAAGTTATTATATAGCTAATACTCCTTGACTATATTCTATATATGGAAACTAAAATAATGAGAGATGTCAAGGTAGACTGGTAGAGAGCATACGCTTGTTACAACAGGAAGCATTAGAGCTGCAGAAGATATCACAAATACGATCTGCATATAGCTCTCCACTTTTGGAGACGAGTGTGCCAACAAACGAGAGGCAATGGAGCTACCAAGCATTGAAGCCAGCATGAATGTTGCAAATATGAAACCATGGGGAATGTCCTCCTCATTAGGGCTCAAAGCAGGAGTCCAGAGAAACACAAAGGTGTACATGGACCCTTCAAACAAAGACTGTATAGCACCGAGCAATGCAATCTTCTCATCTGATTCAATTTAAAAATAAAACAAAAAGTGGTTAGTGTGGGATAAAGCAAGAAGCAAGTCCAAAACCAGGCAAGGTAGTAAGAGATTGACCAGAGGCAATGGCAGAGGCAGCGTTCTTGAACTGGGTAAGAAGGTCTTTGTTTTCTGATGGATCTCCATAGTTCTCGGACCAGGTTGACATAATAACGGCCATACCTATAGCAAGAAAGCAAGCAGCAGCATCGAATGGAGCAACAGGACCGAGGGCCAGAGAATCCACAAGGTAATTGCCAAAGAGTCCAGCGATGATGGCCACTAATCCATTCCCAAGGAATATTGCCTTGGAGAATGTGACTGATAACCACTGCTGCTCGAAACCTCTCTGCACACACAACAATGCAGCTACCAGATGTTGAAGAGACGAATAAGAGCAACATTGAAGTGATAAGCAAATGGAGTTAAAAATGGTTGACAAACCTTATTGTGCTCAGCAACAAGCCACGACTCGAAGGCAGAAAAGAGAAGAGAAGTAGCGATACCTCCCAGAACACGACCCACCATCAAAACTCTGTACTGTGGAGAATGTTTCGTGATACAACTGAGAATATAGGTGATGCAGTAGGTGATAGAAGCTCTCTTCCGACCCCTAAAGTTACATAAAAACAGTCAAGAGACTGATACACGAAAGCAACCTACGAAGAAGAAGAAGAAGAAGAAGAATTCATGGAAAGGATGGTGCTCACTGTTTGTCGGCGAGTGATCCAACAATCGTCCCAAACAACATTGAAGATCCAAAACCAGCAATAAATAGCTGGCCGATCTCCCCCTTTCCGAAGCCATAAGTACTGTAGAGATAGTACACATACGGACCCTGCAACCAGTCTCCAGCTAAAGCCGCCGCGAGAGAGAAAGAGAGAGACAATGTCATTGTGTAATCATGATTCAGGAGCAAAACAAGAGACAACACGAACAACATTCCGATCAAATCACCGATCTAGTACCACCGACACTAACAGATCAGAGCGAGACTAATCAAATCGGCGCAGTAACATGGATCGGAAACGGGGAAAAACTAGGGAGTGAGATCTAAGAACGAACCCATCATGAGAGAGTAAACGAGGAGATAGTTGTTCTTGAAGGAGTTGAAGGCGGAGGAGGTGTTAATGCGGTCTTTGTTGGATTTGCTGAGCTCCAAGCCGGCGACGATCGCAGCGAGGCCACCGAACACCACCCAGTAGAAGATCTCCATTTTCTCACCCGATAGATCTCAGATTCTCGCAAGGAAGGAGAAGATGATGAGTTTTGTGATTGTGATTGTGATTTGTTTTGTAGAGTGTGGTGGAGTGAGATCTACGAATGTGCATGTACCTCTGAATTTCATTTCTTGATTTATTAATTTGCTAACCTTGTAAACAACAATAGGCATCATTTAATTTTTTCCTTCCCAATAATTATTTTTTACCAAATATCTCAAAATTTCAGTCAATCTAAAAACTTGTAAAATAGCAAGACTTTATTTGATAGAGTTATTTGAAAGTTTAGAATACCATAAACATCTTTAAAAAATGCGAAATATAAATCCGGTTACCAGACTAATAAGCCATGTCCCGTGACTTTGGAAACACTAAGTTTCCCGGTCCCGGAATGTGTAAGTCTTCCTTCTTCACCCACGGAGGTAAGATGACACTGCCGCACTGGAGACGTGTGTACACAGGGTGTATTAGCTCGTAGGTTACTCCTTCACGACCTAGTAGGGCTATCATAATTTTGGCTGCTCTCTTCTTCTTGGGAAGCAAGTGTGCACAGTAGCCTGAGATCATACCACACATTGGATTCGAAATTCCATATTTGAAATGTGCCACCTCGGCAATTGTGGCTTCGAGTTGGTGCCTCTTGACCAAGTTGTCTACAATGTGATGTGTGTGGGGTCGGCAGAGGTCTTCTGTAGCTGGGAAAAAACTGCATTGGCTTTGTTGGGCAAAGGTAATGAAGAGAGCATTCCAAGCTACCGGGAAAAAAGATGACACGAAGAAACAAAGTCAATCGTTATCCCTACTTTCGAATATAATGCAGCATCTGGATAAATAAAATTTAGTGAGCCTTTGCCTAATAATTTCATTTACTGATTATTCTAATCTTGTAAACAAAAATATTTAGCGAGCATGTTCATAATTGTTCTTTTAGCAACTCTCATCATATGATAATAACCACACCGACGTGCGGCGTTGTAGAGAAAACCGTTCCTTGCCAGCGAACTGTAATCATTGTTGCAAGAGACCCTCAAGGAAATGGGACCAGCGCGATCATTCAGATGCTTCTTCAAATTCTTTACCATTTAATTGGTCTGTAACCAGCTGTTCCTAGCTGGAACACATCGCACACAAAGGATTTAAATCTTTCTACCCTCTGCAACACACGAGAATCGATATCAAAACAGGAAATAATTATCAAAACTGCAAAAAGAAAATATTGCAAAGTACAAGCACTATCTACCGGAGTAAAATCTCCTGCATCTGGAAGCACAATTTGGGTGAGTGGGCAGTGGACCTCCTTTACTGTCCCGTTAGTTAGGAAAAATCGAGCAAGTCCATACACACCGAACACACTATCTTCCTCGAGGAATCTTCTGGGGCAAGTATTAATCAGTTCTTGTATGGAGAGAGACTCGCCTTGAGCAAGGAATCGTCGAGGGCTTCTTCGTCTTGTGGAAGCAATCTGACTCATTTTAGTAGCTATTTCTAGGTTTCTCACAAACGCTATAAACACACATATTGGAGGTGATTGTTTGATGGGAAGAGGAAGATGATCATCACACTGAGACTCATATGCTGTCACCTCAAAGAAGGCACTCAGATCGACACTCGGATCCATCTTCGGAGATTGTTTAGGTTCAAAGGCGGATGTGGATATGAGATGGCATCAGCTTTAGGTTTAAGGTTTAATTTCTTTTCTTTTAGCAACTTACTATCAATGGCCAACCAGAGACAACCACACTTCATAAGTTTGTGGATGATGCTTAGAATGTGTATGGTCAGGGTCAAGACTATATTCGACAATCATCATCTTCAACACAATATAATGTGCATCGTTTGTGTATAAAGTGAGAAGTTAAACAAAACTTGTTGTTTTTTAACTATCTCATAGTTAATTTTTTCACTGATATACGAACTGCTGTGTCTTTAGAATCGTGGGATGGGAAAAACTATGAGTTACTGCGAAAAGTTCATCCAATAGATGCAATTCAAGATTAATATTATGAAATTGTTGTTGCAAAAGGAAAAGGTATTATGGGATATTTTAAAATATGGAGTTGAGAAAGTAGGAAAAAAAAAAAGACAAAAACAAAAAAAAGTAGAAAATGAGGATGAAGTGTAATGCTTATCTAATCCAACAATCACGAGTTTGAATGTTCCACAGTCCCCAAAACGCATGTCAATTTAGCTTTGTGTAATCTGTATATAGACACTTTCGTATTTTTTTCAAGTATTGGTCCACTTATGTGTCTTGTATTAGTATTACCCTCTTCTCTTCTGCCAACAAAGACGCCTAATTTGACACGTTGTTTGTTTCACACTCTTCGTCGATCAGTTACTTACATGCTAATAAATTAGAATTTAATGAAAGTAGTTCACTATAAGGTCCTCGTGACTGTTAGTTTCTACTTTTGTTTGTATACTGAATAGATTACGATGCCGTGTCATGACTGCACTGGGTTTGTCATTAGGAAGATAAGATATCTAGCCAACGTAACAAGATAGAGAACACAACAATATAATTCATATATATATATATATGTAAAAAACATATGTAGATCAAAACAAATTAACAGAATACATATGTGTACAAACAAACAATTCCCCCTAAAACAATAGTGTGTACCAAACCTAATAATATAGAAGAAGTGTATCATCAATTTGACAACAAAAAAAATATACAGAAAGCGTTACGCCGTTACCTTCCAAAGAGTTAAGACGGGGAACACGTGAATGACTCCCACTTTTTTATGAATCCAGTAGTAGAGTTCAATTCATCGTCTGTTGTGATTTCTCCAAAGCATATACTCCATCCCTTTGAAGTATATCTATTTTTTGGTTTAAATGTTATGATTTTATACCAAAAAGAAGATGTTACATGCTACGAGAGAACTAAACACCTATCCCTGTCAAATCTGTGTACACAACGTCTTTCTTTGAATAGTTGATACAATAAAATTAAAATTTCTGATTTCTTTTATCTATATGCGGATTTTCGAACCTTTTCTTTTATTTCTCTCCATATATAGAACCCTCTCTTCCTTACCTTTCGTTAACACCAAGACTATTTTGTATTTCCGTTTCCAGACAAATCCCTTATAAAAATATCAGCTATGGTCCATATCCTCAAGCCACAACAACCCCTCGCACTCTCCGGAAACAAACGAAACGACCGCGAGGACGACGACGGAGACGCCATGGTTACTAAGAAATCATCACTGGGGGCGTCTGAAGCAGACCCTGCGGCGGCGCTAGCCAGCATCCGACACGAGTTCGGGGAGCACGGAGGAGTGAACATGTCCATCGAGGCCTCCGCCACCTTTACGGTCATGGAACCGGAAACCATGGGGCGGATGTTCGCCGGAGAACTAGGACCGGACAACGACTTCTTCGTATACAGTCGTCACTTCAACCCCACCGTGCTCAACCTCAGCCGCCAGATGGCTGCTCTAGAAGGCACCCAAGCCGCGTACTGTACATCAAGCGGTAACTATATATTATAAAAATAAGAAAATCATTGTTGAGTTAGATACGGAATCTTTGGTTTGTTTTAAGAAAAAAAAAAGAAAAGGCGAATATTACAATATTGGGACGGACTCTCAGGTATGTCGGCGATCTCGTCGGTGCTGCTTCAACTTTGCAGCAGTGGGGGACACGTGGTGGCGTCCAAGACGCTTTACGGAGGAACACACGCTTTGCTCACTCATTTCTTGCCACGGACCTGCAACATAACCACGTCGTTCGTCGACATAACAGACCATGGCGCGGTGGCAGACGCGATGGTTGAGGGTAAGACACAAGTCCTCTACTTTGAGTCGATGGCCAACCCGACGCTGACCGTGGCGGACATACCTGAGCTGAGCCTTATGGCACACGGCAAGGGCGTGACGGTGGTGGTGGACAACACGTTCGCCCCCATGGTGCTGTCTCCGGCCAAGCTTGGAGCTGACGTGGTGGTTCACAGTATCTCCAAGTTCATCAGTGGTGGGGCCGACATCATCGCAGGTAACGTGACTTAGTTTTGTCGCCAGGTAGTTTCTCTTTCACGTGAGGTAAGCATATAACCGTACACGTGTTTTTGTCTTGATATAATAAGCAGGGGCCGTGTGTGGGAGCGAGAAGCTTGTGAAAGGGATGATGGATCTTCGTGGCGGTTCTCTGATGCTGTTGGGTCCTACCATGAACGCCAAGGTGGCCTTCGAGCTCTCCGAGCGAATCCCTCACTTGGCCCTCCGCATGAAGGAGCATAGCCGCAGGGCTCAGGTGTATGCGGAGAAAATGAGGGAGCTTGGGCTGAAAGTGATATACCCGGGCCTCGAGGACCACCCGCAGCACAAGCTGGCTAGAGGAATGGTGAACAAAGGGTACGGATACGGAGGGTTGTTGTCAATAGACATGGAGACGGAGGAGAAAGCCAACAAACTCATGACCTATCTCCAAAACGCCACCCAGTTTGGCCTCATGGCCGTGAGTTTGGGTTACTACGAGACCCTCATGTCCTGCTCCGGAAGCAGCACCAGCAGCGAGCTAGACCCCTCCCAGAAGGCAGCGGCAGGTATCTCTCCTGGCCTTATACGAATGTCGGTGGGCTATGTTGGTACATTGGAGCAGAAGTGGTCACAATTCGAGAAGGCATTCCTCAGAATGTAATGTCTTATATAAGCCTTGACGCCTAATACCAAATATGCGCCAATGTAATGAATGTCTTATAAAATAAAATGATATATAATGTGGGCAATGTTTTGTCTCTAATTTGTTATTTCACAATGTTCTATGCTTAACACATCATTTTTTTTTGACGGCATGCTTAACAATGTCCCAAAAACTAATTTTGTTGGTTACACAATCTTACATAAAGTTTCAGGGTATCCGAAATGAAATTCAGAGATACCTCACTTTCATTACAAATACACTCAAGAGGATTTGACTCCCATTGCAAACCACCTGATTCTTGACCGGTACACACTATCCACTCTATTTCTAATTGAAATTCAAAATAATAATTAAAAGAAAAAAGGAACAAAAAAAGCAACTTCTTTGTTTGTTTTAAATAGGAAGGAGTCACTGAAATATGCAAAAGTAAACGGGTATAAAATGATGATTTGAATAAAAATAGTTGGGGTTTGGTATTTTTATATATACTACTTAAATAATGCAGAAGGGGTTAATTAATGTGAAGGAAGTTGGGGAGGAGTAGTGGATCTGCGCCAAATGAGCTCAAGCTCACGAGCGAACTCCTTCTGCCTCCCAACAACAATGGTGATGTGGTCTTTGTCAGGCACGATGTGGATCCTGGCACGTGGCACTTTCCTCTTGACGCCGTAGCTGCATTCCACGGGGATAAGGTCGTCCCGGCCGCCGTGGTATACGGTGACCTCACAGTCCACGTTGTCACGGACATGATCCAGATAAGCCTCCACTTTGCTCCCCGACCCGAAGATGATGTTGTGTAGTGTGTGCCAACACGCGTTGTGTGTGTGACACAAGAACCCTTCTATCAAGTACGTTCGCACCCTGCTTGCATATATCATCCCAATTATTCACCTTTTACATAGCTTAATCCTATATACTACTAGTACTAGTAGACTCAAAGGACATTAATATATTATTAGCATTTAATCTATGTACCAATTGTATTATGTCACTATATAGAGTTTCCTCACATCTCAAACCTCAATCTCAGGATGATCATGATTCAAAGGTGTCTAATTGCACTAATCAAGTCTAATATATATGTATAGTGGAGATGAATGAATATGTAACTATACCTGTTTCTGGTGATTAGCTTTGTTAGAAATTCCAACAAATTGTGGTTCTTGCAAAGCACTAGACTGACAGTGCGGCTAACGTGTTCGTACCAGCTAGCCACTGAGGCTCCAAAGGCAATCGGAGGCCACACTTCTTTGGGCGCCACTTTTCTCATCACATATAATTGCGTCGCTTGCACTCCCTTTGGCACCGAATAATATGGCTGCAATTTTCACCATTCATATTTTAATAACTTTTCACAAACAAAAGTTATAAACTTATAAAAAAAGAAACATTATTTATTTGTGATATTTCTTTTTCTCCGATAATATCAACTCTAATATACTAATTACCAAATAATAACCAGGAAGGAATATTCTACTAAAAGGAATTTGTATAGTTGAGGTCATTACTTACAGGAGCCAATAGAGTGAGTGACTTGATGGCTCCAGGGTGTTTAACCGCAAGCGCAAGAGCCAAAATGCAGCCTAAGGAGTGAGCCACTATGTGGAATGTCTTGAGCCTGAACTGAGAGATGACCGATCTCTCTATCATCTCTAAGTGCTCTTTCAGTGTATACAGCGAATCATTCGGCTTTGGACTCTTCCCATAACCCAAAAGATCCACTGCGAAGAACCTGTAGTTCGATTTGGCTGAGTCTGAGAAGTTTGGGAACAGAGTCTCTGTCCAAAACGTGGATGATGATAAGAACCCATGTATGAACACCACGTTCTCTTGTGCCTTGTTGTCTGCACATTCAAAAAAATTATACATAACCATCACCACTTTTTAAGCTAAGAAATAGTTGAGTTTTAGCAAATTAGTGCATTATTTGTCTATCTTTTTTAGAATTTCATATAAATAATGTTCAATCCTAAATGAACGTGAATTTCCCATTTAAAATGTCTCGTTTCTAATTTTAGTTATATGGATTTGTATTGTATTAAAACAAAAGAAATAATTAATTAATGATAATGCTTTAGTTTGATTCCTAAAGTAGCATTCTTTTGTAACCAAGAATAATCAAACTTTGTTTCTTCTTTCTCATGAGAATTTATTACTGATGCATGTTGTACGTGACACGAGACATTTCGATGAGAGAGAGAGAGAGAGAGAGAGAGAGAGAGAGAGAGAGGTAAGGGTGTTTCAAAGTTCAAAACAGGACACCATGAAACAGGGGACTTTAGAGATTATTCACCCAATCTACATTGTTGTATTATGTAAAATGTAGATCACTAAAAGGTACCTTTGGGTTGTTGGACATTGACAAAGAGAGAATGGTTGGAAGAGGAAAGCCAAGAAGTGCAGAAAGTGCAATGGCAATCAGACCATCTTGGTGTTCTTTGCAACTTCTCGACCACCGTAGAATTCACAGTCAGTAATGTCTTTTTAGTCGATGCTGATCTCTTCTTGGAATCGTCACAACACTCCACAGCATTCTTCTTGAAACACTTTACCAGCTTAGTGAGCCTGGTGAGGAGTGAAGGGCGTGAGTAGAGTGTCTCGGAGATCTCATCCAAATGGATCTTTGTCCTTGTGAGGGAGACCACCTTCGAGTACTCCCCTGATCTTTCCGACACTATCATCTTCCCGCCTCTGGTCCCTCCAGCCGCCGCTGGTTTGGCCACAGGCGGCGGACAGCAGTAGCACGGTTTCCACTCGGACTCGAAGAAGAAATCAAGTGTCTTGTAGGTGAAGCAAAGCAAGAAATCCACAATGTCGAGGATGAAGAAAACGAAGAAACCCACGGTGCGGTTGAGCCACCGTGAGAAGCCCATGCTTTGGAGTTTGAATCTTGTGGAGGAGGGCTTGTATGCATGTATGTATGTATGTATGGAAGTTGTATGGTAGTGATGTTGTAAAGACAAAGTACGTGAGAGAGAGAGAGAGTAAATATTAAAATAATTAAGTTAATGAAGAGAGAGAGACAGAACAGATGGCAGATACATGAATTTATTGATCGCATTTAACATACCTTGTTGGCCAAAATGGTGAAATTGGGTGGCCGTTGAATATTATTCCTAGCCCTTGCTTTCGTAATTTCTGAGCACTTGACCACGCATTTCCAGCACATAATAATAGATCCCTTAATTTCTACTATTTTAATTTCTGAAACATCAATGCTTGGCATTTGGCAACATGTGGTGTCGATTGGTCCGGTGATGATCCAAAATGCCACTATATATATATAGCTACTAACACACAAAGTCAATATCAACAAATTTACATTTCCTACTTGTACAGATATTTGATGAGAAAGTGAAAAATGTTAATGGGAAAGTAACATGCATGTTAAGCAAATACGGAAATTTATGTTTGAAACAATAAAAATAGTAGATAGTTAGTACTCAATAATGCTACTCATACGCTTTGTTTGGTAAGACCGTTAATGAGGGCTTTTAAGATGGTGACTTTAGGGGTCTAAATGTTGACAGCGAAATAAGAATAATGAGAAGTGATATGATGACTTGTGGCCATTCAACTCAAACTCAAAGCCATCGCTCTGAATGCCCACCGGCCCATATAAACACTTAAGCAGCCTAGCTGACCTGTTTTTAGACAATTCTATAATTTGTATACACATTTTGGAAAAACAAGTTAAACAAGTACCCCATTCAGTACAATATAGTATATTTTCGGTGAAAAAAAGAAGAAGTGAAACCTTGTGGTTATCCCAAAACTTCCAAGTACCCAATCCCAATCTAGTACAATATAGATTCTTATACATTATGAAGCTAGTTGCTCAACGTCAAGACCAACTTTTTGCATCATAGTTTTGTTATATTAATCCATCAGGTTGTTTAAGCACGGATAGATTCACCAATAGTCAAGTGATTTCTGATATTGTACATAATAAGTATGTGGGTAAGTGAAATTAGCTAGCGGAATTTAATGTAAAGCTCAAAGTCAACCATATGGACTATTGCTGTGGTAGAGAGCAGAAAAGGAGTTGAATGTCAGAAAAAGAGTTAGCTACAACTAATTAAAAGTTACAAGAAGCAATGACACGTGTAATGCACACTAGCTAGTCAACGACGACTTGTGCTGTGGTTTGACAAACATGTGCCGATCACTCCCTTGTCTCCCTTCCAACATTTAGCGTTAGAATTGTATTTTCTTGTGCTCTCACTCCCTACCCATAATGTAATGGTAGTTCCTTGTAAATAAAAAATGGTAACATACATGCAAAAAAAAAAAACAAGTAGCGTTAAAATTGGGTTGGACTGACATCACCGAGTAACTAATATAGTAACAATAATAGGAAAGCATGTGATGGAGAAAAGTCAAAAGACTATGAAGCCATAAATGCGATTTTGATGGAGTTTGGTAGGGAGTTGTCTTTAATTTAATGTTTCACTTCATCTTTGATATTGAAAATGCTCCTCTCCTCCTATACTTCATCCTTGCTAGTTGCTAGTTATATAACCCTTTACCTTAATCAATATAATAGCTGGCACTCGGTATTTGATTGGCCATCGACATATACAGGCCCGAATCTGAGTTTTTTGAGGTCTAACATGAAAAAAGTCGTGTATCTAGTTAATACATACAAAATTCGAATTTGCATTGAAAAAGTTGAAGACGAGGGAAATGTTTCAAGAGCTCATCAATGCTGGACCATTTTTGTTTATTTATCAGTATGTAAGATGTCCCCACAACTTTTTCAAATTTTTTTTCTTTCCTAAGCTAATAAAATTATGGCGCGTACAAGTTTAAAGAAACTTAAGGCTTTATTCGAATGTTTCAAATAATATATTTAGGTCCGGCCCTGGACATATATATATTTATATATACATATATCAGACATATAAATCAAGGTATGTAATTAATACATTTATAGATATCAAAAAGAAGAAGAAAAATTACATATTTACAGAGTATTATAGAAGTTATTTACTACTTCCTCTAACAAAAGAAAAGAAGTTAGTTTCTACTTGAGTAGTAATTGCAAACATGAATCTATTTACTTGTATCGTGAAAATTGACTAAGCCTCTATGAAATGGGCTTGGGAGGGCGTACGACGTTGTCAATGGGCCAATGGGTCTATTAAATGGGCCAATGACTAAACCCAGATACATCCCATATATGTGTTCTATGGGTCTCATGAACCCATGTATATATATATATATGTTTGGCTGATTAGTAGGGTAGACGAAATATTCTGTTCCATTTCATTCTTGGTTCTGCGTTTCCGTTCCATAGAAGAATGTAGTTCTTATGGTAGAAAGTTTCATTTAGGAACAGGGTAGAAACTAGAAACACAACTCCCAAATCTCATTCGAAACAAAGTGTACATACTAATTACATATACGTAACATCCATAAACCAAAAATAAAAATTGGGAATTTTGTCGGTTCAATTTAAGTGAATTGGTTTGGGTCGGTTTAGTGGAGAAAGCCCTAAAATCAAGTTTAAAGAGTGCAGCCGTCTTCTCTTTGGAGAATTTTCGAGTTCAGATGCTGTAGAGGAGAAAAGTTGAGTTTTTGGAGAGATTTTCGAATTTTACTGTTCATCGGGTACTGTTCATCGGTACTGTTCACGGGTTACTGTTCATCGGTACTGTTCACGGGTTACTGTTCATCCGCGATTCGGCACTGTTCATCGTCCTTCCTTTTTCCTTCAGTTTCAGTCAATTGTCAAGGTGAGTGCATGACTGTGGGTCCGTGATTTGCTAGATTAGATTTGGTTTGTGATTGTTCTTGATGAGTTTTGTGTTTAATTGTTATTTCATGATATTTTGGTTGTTTATGTGATGAATTGTGTGTTTGTGTGGTTAATCTGGTTCAATTGATTGGTTTAATTGGTTTAATTTTTAATTGATTTGATTCTGGTTTATCTTGGTTCAATTGAATTTAATTGGTTTATATTGGTTTAATTAATTTAATTGATTTGATTCTAATTGAATTTAATTGATATTGGTTTAATTGAATTTAATTGGTTTAATGGAATTAAATAGATTTAATTCGGATTTAATTAATTAAATAATATTTATTTAATTAATTGGTATTATTTTAATTATTTTAAAATATGGAAAATTATTATTTAATTATGAGAATTATTTAATAATTGAGAAATTGAGTTTTAATTATTAAAAATTATTTAATAATTGGAAAATGGTATTTAATAATTATTGAAGTTTATAAATATTATTAAATATCTAGTAAATTGCGTAAATGGCTCGTAGGCAGAGTGATTGCCTCACTAAGTATTTATTAAATACTTACGCAACTCCATTCCAATGTGTTGCAGGTAAAAGATTTGTGTGATCGCGGAATCAAGGCTGAAGAGGGGGATGATAGGATGTTTACTGTTTTATTGTTTTGCATTATTTTGCTAGACTTGTTTAATTATTATTTGCTTCCGCTGAGCTGATTTATTTGTTATTGATATTTTATTTATTTAATTTATTTTTAAGACCTTCGCTAGAATTGATTAATATTTATTAAAAAAAAAAAAATGTTGGTTGTTTCATTTTGGTATCAGAGCCTAGACGGTTTTAGGACTGTTAGAATTGCTAGGCTTTAGTATCATCCCCTTCAGCTACAAGAGATTCCGCGGTGAGTTTATGTTTGTTTTGAGTTTTGGTTGCGTGTTCTAGTGTGCTCTTTTCGGTTCCATGAGTGAGATGGACTGAGTAGCTAGAGGTTGTGGCGCGAGAGGGCGCGGTGCGAGGCCGTGGTGGCAGAGCTAGAGGCCGTGGAGGCCGGGGCCGAGATTGTGGACTTCGGCGGATTCGGGAGAGAGTGTGGTGCCGAGTGTGGCGACTGCGTCGGTGACCCAGTCGGTATCCGTGGCGAGTGAGGCCAGTGTGGATGCGAGTGTTGGTTTGGGAGCGGGGGCTGCTCCGGGTGGGGGGTGCTCCGGCTCAGGGTCTTGATGACTTAGTGGTGGGTTTGCTGACGCAGTTATTGGCTCGTTTTCCGCCAGTGGTTCCACAGGGGCTCCGGGAGTACCTCCAGTGGCAGAGGTGCAGCAGAGGGCTGCGGGATTTGTTCAGCCGCAGGCTGTGGGTTTGATGGTGCCGCCTATTTGGATATGATGGGGCACATGCAGAGGATTGGTACGCCGTACTTTGAGGGCGGAGTTAGAGGCGGCAGATGAGGCGAGAGATTGGAGCGGAATTTCCAGTCTATCAGATTTCTGGTTTAGTACAGGTTGGAGTTAGGCAGTCCACTATCTGAGTGGTGATGCGCATTTGTTGGTGGTTGTGTTGTTCTTTTTGTCTGTGATAAATTGTTGAGGTTCTCAACGCATGTGTTTCGTAATGACCTTGTTAGTGGGCGGTTTTGAGTCCCACGTTTTATTCGACTCTGGAGCATCGAATTGCTTCATTACACCGGAGCGTGCCGAGAAGAGTGGCATCCGGAGTAGCGCGGGCGAGAGCGCGGGCATGGTCAAGGTGGCGGGAGGTGGATTCTTGTCTACTTTGGGCCGTGCTAGAGGAGTCGAGATCGAGATTGCGGGGCAGTCAATGCCAGCAGACTTAGTCATCAGTCCGGTGGAGCTGTATGACGTTATTCTCGGGATGGACTGGTTGTCACACTACAGAGTTCATCTGGATTGCTACAGAGGTAGAGTGGTCTTCGAGCGAGATGCAGGGAGGTTGGTTTATCAGGGAGTGAGACCGACTTCCGGGAGTATTGTGATATCTGCTATTCAGGCCGAGCAGTTGTTAGAGCGGGGCTGTGAGGCGTATCTGGCGACGATTTCTATGTCTGAGTCAGGAGCTGGAGTTGTTATGGGAGATATTGAGGTTGTCCAGGATTTTGAGGATGTCTTTCAGTCACTGAAGGGATTACCACCATCTCGGTCTGATCCTTTCACGATTGAGTTAGAGCCGGGGACAGCACCGATATCGAAGACGCCTTACAGGATGGCGCCAGCTGAGTTGGCAGAGCTGAAGAAGCAGATAGAGGACCTTTTGTCTAAGGGGTTCATTCGACCAAGTGTTTCACCGTGGGGAGCACCGGTGTTGTTTGTGAAGAAGAAGGATGGCAGTTTCAGACTTTGTATCGATTACAGAGGTCTTAACCGAGTCACTGTGAAGAACAGGTACCCACTCCCGAGGATTGATGAGTTTGGATCAGTTGAGGGGTGCTACTTGGTTCTCCAAGATTGACTTGGCATCGGGGTATCATCAGATCCCGATAGATGAGGCAGATGTCAGGAAGACTGCTTTCAGGACGCGTTATGGGCATTTTGAGTTTGTGGTTATGCCTTTCGGTTTGACTAACGCGCCGGCAGCCTTCATGAGATTGATGAACGACGTGTTCAGGGAGTATTTGGACGTGTTCGTCATCATTTTCATTGATGATATTCTGGTATACTCGAGGAGTCAGGAGGAGCATGCGACTCACTTGAGGTTGGTTCTGGAGAAGCTTCGGGAGCAGAAGCTTTTTGCTAAGTTGAGCAAGTGCAGTTTCTGGCAGCGAGAGATGGGATTTCTTGGCCACATTGTTTCTGCAGAGGGAGTTTCTGTGGATCCGGCTAAGATTGAGGCTATCAGAGATTGGCCTAGACCTAGTAGTGCCACCGAGATCAGGAGTTTTCTGGGTTTGGCAGGATACTACAGGAGGTTCGTCAAGGGGTTTGCTACCATGGCGCAGCCGATGACGAAGTTGACCGGGAAGGATGTCCCTTTTATTTGGTCAGCTGAGTGTGAGGAGAGCTTTAGTCAGCTCAAGGAGATGTTGACTACTACACCAGTGTTGGCGTTACCCGAGCCAGGGAAGCCTTACATGGTGTATACAGATGCTTCAGGCATTGGTCTTGGTTGTGTGCTGATGCAGGAGGGCAGAGTGATAGCATATGCTTCGAGACAGTGGCAGGGCAGTGAGCGTAACCGTCCTACACATGACTTAGAGTTGGGAGCAGTGATCTTCGCGTTGAAGATTTGGAGGTCTTACTTGCTAGGTGAGACAGTACAGGTCTTCACGGATCACAAGAGTTTGCAGCATATCTTCACTCAGCCGATGATGAACGCGAGACAGACGCGCTGGGTTGAGTTCTTGGCGGATTATCAGGTGAGCATTAACTACCATCCGGGCAAGGCTAACCTAGTGGCGGACGCGTTGAGTAGACGGAGGTATGATTCCGCAGTTGAGCGAGATGTGGAGTCTCTAGTTGGCGAGATCAGTACCTTGCGTTTGTGTGCCATTTCGCAGGAGCCTTTGGGTTTAGAGGCAGTGGATCAGGCGGATCTACTTAGCAGGATCAGAGTTGCTCAGCAGAGTGATCAGAGTTTGCTGGATGCGACGAGAGTGACTGGTTCTGAGTATGAGGTCTCTGCGAATGGGACTATCTTGGTTCGTGGGCGAGTTTGTGTGCCTAAGGATGTGGAGTTGAGACATCAGATTTTGGGAGAGGCTCATGCGAGCAAGTTTTCCATTCATCCAGGAGCGACCAAGATGTACCATGACCTCAAGAGGTACTATCATTGGGTCGGGATGAAGAGGGATGTAGCAGATTGGGTTGCGAAGTGCAACACTTGTGCCTTGGTGAAGGCAGAGCATCAGGTTCCGGGTGGTCTTTTGCAGAGTTTACCCATTCCGAGTGGAAGTGGGATAGGATTACGATGGATTTCGTGGTTGGACTACCTGTTTCGAGGACTTTCGATGCTATCTGGGTGATTGTGGATCGGTTGACTAAGTCTGCACATTTCTTGGCCATCAAGAAGACAGATGGAGCTGCTGTCTTGGCTAGGAAGTTTGTGCGAGAGATTGTGAGGCTGCATGGAGTGCCAGCTAGTATTGTGTCAGACCGTGATCCCAGATTCACTTCAGAGTTTTGGAGGGCGTTTCAGGCAGAGATGGGCACTAAGGTGCATCTGAGTACAGCTTATCATCCGCAGACAGATGGTCAGTCAGAGAGGACTATTCAGACTTTGGAGGATTTGCTGAGGATGTGTGTGTTGGATTGGGGTGGCCATTGGGCAGATCACCTAAGCTTAGTTGAGTTTGCATACAACAACAGCTTTCAGGCGAGTATTGGCATGGCTCCATTTGAGGCTTTGTATGGGAGGCCATGTAGGACACCCCTATGCTGGACCCAAGTGGGGGAGCGCAGCATGTATGGAGCTACTTATGTTCAGGAGACGACAGAGAAGGTTCGTGTTGTGAGGCTGAACATGAAGGAGGCTCAGGATAGGCAGAAGAGTTATGCAGATAGACGCAGACGAGAGCTTGAGTTTCAGGTTGGAGATAGAGTTTATCTCAAGATGGCTATGTTGAGGGGTCCTAACAGATCCATAGCAGAGAACAAGCTGAGTCCGCGATTTATGGGTCCGTTTCCAGTAGTGGAGCGAGTTGGGCCATTAGCTTACAGGCTGGAGTTGCCTGAGATTATGAAAGCCTTTCACAAGGTTTTTCATGTGTCGATGCTGAGGAAGTGTCTTCATCCTACAGAGGAGTTAGTGGCTAGGATTCCAGAGGATCTTCAGCCAGATTTGACCGTGCCGGCAGTGCCTATGAGGATTTTAGAGAGGAGGGAAAAGGTTCTGAGGAACAAGAGGATTCCCTTACTGAGGATTTTGTGGGATTGCAGTGGTTCTACAGAGGAGACTTGGGAGCCAGAGGCAAAGATGAAGTTGAAGTTCAGGAAGTGGTTCGACAAGCAGGTCGAGGAGTGAGCTTATTTCATCTTTGTAGCCTCAGTTGTTATTTTTGGCTTTGGTGTTATTGTATTTTCGTTTTCGTTGTAACGATTTACATTTTGGAGTTTTAATGAGATGCAGTTTTTCCTCATTTTGCCTTGTGTTGTGAAAAGGTATTCGGATGTTACACATGTTTGACCAGTTTTTGGTTGTGAGACGGTCTAATCTTATGGTTATAGACATTTTCCGGAATTTTTACTCTAAGGATTGCGATCCTGAATAACTCATCATGTTTTTGGAGACTTCGTTCTCTGGCAGACTCTCTGGGTGCAAGTAGGCCTCAGTTGAGTGTAGCTTATATGGGTGCAAGTAGGCCTCAGTATAAGCAGTTTAGTTCATCTGGGTGCAAGTGGGCCTCAGTATGGACGTTTTCGGGTTCGTCTGGGTGCAAGTGGGCCTCAGTGCGGACCGGTGTGGACTTGTCTGGGTGCAAGTGGGCCTCAGTACAAGTTGTTTGGTGTGTTTGGATGATGAGTTAGGAGTGAAATTTTCTTGGAACGTGTTTATGACATAAGATATGACGTTTGTCTCGGGGATCAAGTGAGGATCTCCGGTGTTGCGGCCTTGCGAGGTTGGGTTTTGTGGTCTTTGTGACGTTTGCGTTGGGATTCGAGGACGAATCCAGTTTAGTGGGGAAGAGTTGTAACATCCATAAACCAAAAATAAAAATTGGGAATTTTGTCGGTTCAATTTAAGTGAATTGGTTTGGGTCGGTTTAGTGGAGAAAGCCCTAAAATCAAGTTTAAAGAGTGCAGCCGTCTTCTCTTTGGAGAATTTTCGAGTTCAGATGCTGTAGAGGAGAAAAGTTGAGTTTTTGGAGAGATTTTCGATTTTACTGTTCATCGGGTACTGTTCATCGGTACTGTTCACGGGTTACTGTTCATCGGTACTGTTCACGGGTTACTGTTCATCCGCGATTCGGCACTGTTCATCGTCTTCCTTTTTCCTTCAGTTTCAATCAATTGTCAAGGTGAGTGCATGACTGTGGGTCCGCGATTTGCTAGATTAGATTTGGTTTGTGGTTGTTCTTGATGAGTTTTGTGTTTAATTGTTATTTCATGATATTTTGGTTGTTTATGTTGAATTGTGTGTTTGTGTGGTTGTTCATTGTGATTGAATTGTGTGGTTTGGTTGAATTTAATTGGTTTATTGGTTTAATTGAATTTAATTGATTTGATTCTGGTTTATCTTGGTTCAATTGAATTTAATTGGTTTATATTGGTTTAATTGAATTTAATTGGTTTAATGGAATTAAATAGATTTAATTCGGATTTAATTAATTAAATAATATTTATTTAATTAATTGGTATTATTTTAATTATTTTAAAATATGGAAAATTATTATTTAATTATGAGAATTATTTAATAATTGAGAAATTGAGTTTTAATTATTAAAAATTATTTAATAATTGGAAAATGGTATTTAATAATTATTGAAGTTTATAAATATTATTAAATATCTAGTAAATTGCGTAAATGGCTCGTAGGCAGAGTGATTGCCTCACTAAGTATTTATTAAATACTTACGCAACTCCATTCCAATGTGTTGCAGGTAAAAGATTTGTGTGATCGCGGAATCAAGGCTGAAGAGGGGGATGATAGGATGTTTACTGTTTTATTGTTTTGCATTATTTTGCTAGACTTGTTTAATTATTATTTGCTTCCGCTGAGCTGATTTATTTGTTATTGATATTTTATTTATTTAATTTATTTTTAAGACCTTCGCTAGAATTGATTAATATTTATTAAAAAAAAAAAAATGTTGGTTGTTTCAATATAGTTAAAAACATACCCCCATAATAGTACAAAACTAAAATTATAGAACACTACTCATAAATTTAACTTAAATCAAGATTGACCAAGATTAATGCCAAGTAAACTCATTAACCAAATACATGTAAATATACGAAAATATACAATAAATATAAATCTAGACATATACCACCGACAAGTCATTGTCGGTCGAACCACTTGTGATGGTTGATGCAACAACGTTTTCCCCGTTGGCCACGGCTCTCACAGTCTCTATCAGCTCATTTGTTCTTCCACCTTCCGACAATATCTGCAACAGCTCTTCCGTGTTTATGAACAGCTTTACTTTCCATATTCCACTTTTGCTGCTGGTGCGTCTCCTCCTCGTCTTCTTTTCCTTCTGTTGGGTCCTTGTGTAGATTTTTCTTGAAAAGACGTCCGTGTATGATCTCTTCAACACCCTGTGGTTGTAGTCCAGAGACATTCTGTACGGAGTTATCGCTGGCAAGGACTCACTATTGGATCTTGAGTGGCAGTTTCCGACAAAAGTCTTCAAGTCGTCCGTGACAATATTGGGCAAGAGATAGTATGAATGACCGGGGGCGAGGTGGTGGTGGTGAGCTAGGGGTTGCCAGGGGAGATGGAGTGCAGAGTAAACAGTATGGCCTGAGATTTCATCAGAGACTGACCCTGCAGTGACGGGGGAGTAGAACTCGAGAACTTCACCGTTGGATTTTATGACTTTGATCGACATGTCTTCCTCATCGCCTAACCCTCCGAATAAACAGTTCCCCATGCTGGTCTCTGTGACTTTCTTGCCTACTCCAACTCCATGCTCTCTATATAGTTTGTTTTAATTACAAAGGTCGGTGAAGGTGAGAGAATGAGAGTTTAAATATACAAAAGAGAAACTATGTGAACGCAAAAGCCGCGTACATCAAAGGAAAATGCGGTGTGGAATCTTCTTTGCTTTTGATATTTTTAATACATACTGTTGTTTTTGTTTTATTTTGAAGTCATGCTATTAGTGTTCTTTTTTTTTTTTTTTTTTTTTCTCTTTTGGTTATGAACATGTAATTCTTTACCTTCAAGTGACCGTAAACCTTCTTACTTCTCGTACTTCTCGCCATCCATTTTTATCTAAAACTTCTGTTTCCCCATTCCTAAAAAGCATGAAAGAAGCTGAGATCCATTGTCAGTGGAACATTTTTAGTGGTTGGTGATATCCCAAAAGGAAAAAGAGTTGGGCTCTAAAGAATAGGTGGACTCGTATTATATAGACCAAAGGAGAAGAGAAAGAAAAAACAAAAAGAAATAAGGGCATAGTAAATGGGTCCATTCCACTTCCATTGAATCCTAAAAATAACTAAATCAAAGAAAGAAAAGTCCAAGGACCTACAAAGAAGCATCATCGGTTGGGGTTTCTTTCCAACTTTCTCTTTAATAAAACGCATCGGTTTCTGACCCCTATTTTGGAGTCCACCTTACGTTTATATGAATACTTTGGCGCCAGAAGCTCATATCTACAAAGTTCGAGTTACCATTTAAACAACATAAAATTTGTTTATTTTATGTAAGAAAAACATTAAAAGACTCTTATAATAAAATGGAAGGGAAGTATGTTACTATCTTACTACAGAGGTTTTTTTTTTTTTGTCTGTTCTAGTTTGTGATTGTTTAACCGCCAAGGACATTATGAAAAAGAAAAAACTTACTAGAGAAAGCAGACAGATGAGAACACCGTGCATTAAATAGACGGGACAATCCATAGCCCACTGATAATTGAATATAATAAAATGATAAATGGAAGAGTCAAATTTGGATGTATGAAATACGTAAACAAGTTGAAACGGAACGTGGACTATACGTCTGTGACTGTCATCAAGGAGAACGCTCTTAATGAATACGGTCCCATACATACAGGTAGGAGGACCGTCGTTTCCCCATTTATTTTTCTGTCTTCTTTTTTGTTTGGTAGTATCTATTATCTAATGTGATAAATCTCTTGGAGCCATCACTTTTGTACAGACAATAGCAAAGTATGTTAAATTCGTCTCTTCTTGTTGCCGAAACTTGGAACCTCTTTCTTTATTGCACAAACTGGCTAAGTACGTTGGATATCAGGCATTGTTTTTTTTTTGTTATGCAAGAATCAAAACGTTAGGTTGGTATCGCATCGCTTGATTAGTGTATGCCATCTTCTTAATTCATTAGATACAAAAAGTCAAAGCAATTGATTATGGGGTTGGATATGTTTTGTCATTTAGTTGCGGAAAAATCTTGACGTCTCTTCTTGTATGAAGTCTTGTTGGAGTGTTCGTTTACCTGTTGCTATATAATAAAAACATAAATGAGGTTAAATAACTGTATAATATGGTGGGACATTCTCCTATATATTCAGATCACTACCTCTTTTCAACTTTCAGAGCCAATAATAAAGAAAACAAAGGAGAGGCTTGCCGATGGAAACAGGAGGCAAAGTTATCACTTGCAGAGGTAATTTATGCATAGAAAACCAGTATACTGTGTAAATATTAGGGAAGCTAAAATTAGAAATGTTGATGAGTGAACAGCGGCTGTGGCATGGGGAGCTGGAGAAGATCTAGTGATGGAGGATGTTAAAGTTGATCCTCCTCAGAGATTGGAAGTGAGAATTCGAATCCTCTTCACTTCCATCTGTCACACTGATCTTAGCGCATGGAAAGGCGAGGTGATCTTTCTTACTCTCTCTTCCTAATTTCTTCTTATTTTTTTTAAGTAAAGTAGCTA